AAAAAAACCCCACCATCAACACTTCTACAAGCATTGCTTTGTGGGGAGAAAATGTCACCAGCCAACCTTTGGTTAATTCAGGAAAAGTTTTCATGCTGATGTTTCATATTAAACTTGGCTTAATGAAACAATGTTAAAGTTACGGATTAAAATGGCAGTAGATTTCTCTGAATAAAACAGAAATTTCTGACGATCAACAAAGGGATCAAAGAAGGAATATTTGTGAGACCAGAGATAACAGCAATCATGAGACATACTTTACTGAAATTAGGAAATGTGCACATGGCATAACAATTCAGGCATGTTCACTCGCTTTTATTTAATGCCTCAAGAACTGTAAAATATATGAAGAACATGTATTGCACATAAAATACGTGTTAATTTTTTCTCTATAGTTTTATCTGATAAATATTTAACAAATTATGTACGAGACATGTGCATAAATATAATGTGTAAGACTTGATATGAAATGCCTGTTACCGTCATCCAGTTTTAATACAATTTGGAATGGACTGACAAATTCCAGTAAAACTTACAAATATCACATTTCATGAAAATTTATCTAGCAGTTCTCAAGTTGTACATGCAGACAGATATGGCGAAGACAACAGGAGAACTCTCGAGTTTTTTCTGAGAATTTACTAAATTCAGTAACACAGGATAATCTGAATGGATAACTGAGGTATTATCAGCATAACTAAACTTACTTTACCTGAATTTGACATTACTGACTGTAAAGATGTTCCTCCTTCAACAGAATGAATGGACAAATCGCATTCAAGTTTATCCCCACTCTGTGCATTTTTCATGCTGACCTCAGACAGGTGTGACTGTAGTTCAGGATACTTCTTTTCCAATGGTGACACCACATCAGAGCATTCAACAGACTTCTCAGGAAAGCAACCAAGGTCTTGAGTTAAACATCCTATAGATCTGCCCAACTGTTTATTCTCCACCAAAGTGTTAAATTCATGGATATTCAAATCTCCAGCTGAAATATTATCTTCAAGTGTGAATGTCTGATCATAATTCTTATCTTCCTTATCCAAAGTCAGAGCACTCTCATTCTTTTTACCTCTTTTTAAGCTTGAAGAACAAAGTAAGGCACCAACCCCTACACTGGCATTTGGGACTGAAAATACCCAGGCATCGCTACTCTCGTTACTCACTGCAGAGTCATCTCCATCATAAGATAAGCTTGTATGATTTGAGTATGATAGTTTTCCCTTCTCATCACTACAGTCTGAGACATTTATCTCGGTATGCGACACAGTTTTCTGTACATTAAGTACTGGTACACCTTTCCTAGAATGGTCAACTGTATTGATATCACTAATGGAACTTGTATCACATTTAGAATGAGATAAACTAGAGACATGTTCTTTCTTGGAACCAGAATACACATTAGCATTACTAACTACAGAAGTATCTTTCAATTTTCTATCACCATCTGAAATAGAGCTACTACATAAAGGCTGTGGAGCACTTGCAGTTTTGACTGGAAAGGATCGTTTTGAACTGCAGAGGCCACTATGCTTTAGAATATTTGAAACAACTGTACGTGGTGATCCACATGTATCAACCTTTGCCAGAATATCGGCAATACAAGAGAGACTTAATGTGTCTCGTTGGTCAATACTGCGTCCTGATGAATTTAATGAAGATTTTCTTCTATCAGAATAGGAAAGAGATTTGCATATTTCCTCTGTTTCTTTTGTACAGTCTTGATTATTGCTAGAGACTTCCTGAGGCACACTGTCATCCAGTTCACCTTCTATCAATGGCATAAGTGTGTGACCTTTATCTGGCCTCTTGGCTTGAATTCCAAAATTTGTATTAATGTTAGACTTTGCTACTAGTCCATCAAGCTGTTCTGATTTAAGGCGAAAAAATTCACCAACAGAGACCCTCTTTTTTGGATGTCCACAGTGAGAAACATCCACTGACTGGAGAGAGATTTCAGCATTACCTACAATACCTGAGAAGTCTATATTTGATATGGCTGCAGATGTAGGTCCAACAGCTGGTGGGATATTTTCCTTCTTCCAAGCACTTTCATCTGCTGCAAGCTTCTCTTCACATCTTTCCCCGGGCATGAAATCTTCAGAAGATAATTCTAACATCATTGCTGCCATCTTCCCAGCCAATTCACTGTCTAATTTTAAGTGATCAAATGGATTATGAAGTGTTTCTGAACATGATGATCCAGAGAGGTTAAGAGACTGATTTAAACCATCTATTTTATCACCTATTTTGTCCTCAATTATTTCTGTAGTATGACCACGTTCACTGTGAAGCTTTGATAGGTTCAGGGAACCACTCAAAAGTGTAGCCATTTTCATACTTTCAGATACAGATTGAGAAATATCTACTGACGGCACAACATTTTGAAATAACTCATTTCCCAGATCTGCACCTTCAGGTTCTTTTAAACTGCCAGCTACTGACTGGTATGATGAAACAGAAACTCTATTAATTGCCCTCCATGCAAGTTCTTTTTGCAGTCGAAGTCTCATATCTACCGCCAGATCTGACAGTTCTGCAGTAACAACAGTTTTCTTCTTAGTATGACTGTCATGAGTTGAAGGCAGTTTCCCTTTGCTGTCTACTTCATCCTCTGATAAATCTGAAACAATATGACAATTGTAATATTATCAATTGTTCATTTACAACAGAAGCATAGGATATAACTTGAATTTACTCAAATGCCACGGTTGTGAAATGTGTCATGCATGTATGTCTGTGTGCACATGCGGATGTGTAGAAGAGCATAAGATTCTAAGGTTCTTTGCAGTTGTACAAAATTCAAATTAAAAATCCACAACATAAGAAGGCAGAAATTAGCAGCACAGACACACATGTGTATGTGTATATTATGTCAGACTTAATGGGGACTGAGAGCAGAATGCAGGGTCAAACTACAAACTTATTTGAAAATTCATCGAACATTAAGAAGTGAGGGGGAAACAAGGCTGTAGAGGGGCCTGTGACTGACATCCTAAAATGATGCAAGTGGAATAGTATGGGCAGAGAAAATCTTGATACCTAACAGATACTACATAAGATTAAACCTTATAATACAGAGTAATGGACAAAATGATCCGGTATTTGATTTAGTATTAATTATTCAACCATACAATAAATGATGTTTTGTAACATGGTAACATTTACAGTAGATCATGGAGATTAGCTCTTACTCTTCCCCAGCATGCTGTTCCTGCTCATGTGCCAGTTTACCCCAGATGGCTGACAAAGGATGACTGTCTCTAGAACAGCTCATAAAAACAGTGTTGTTCTTTGCTGAAACAAGAAGTGTTGTGGTCACACAGAAGCGTTTTCATGCCCATTTTCAAATGCGATGGATGCCTTCATTCAAACAATTCATGAACTTTATAACCAGTTTAATAATGATGGTTCAGTGTTGGAGAGGAAAAGTTGCCAGCTTTCATCTGTGTGTTTTCTGGAGAACATTGACACTTTCATAGTGGTGCTGCAAAGAAGCCCTAGCAAATCAACAAGGAAGGTTGCACAACTAGGGATATTCAGATGATCGGTGGAAGGAATATTGAAAAGTAACTTGAATTTATATCCATACAAAATGACAGTGTTGCCTAAACTTACAGTTCAAAACAAACATCAAAGAATGGCATTTGCTGAATAGGCTCAGAATAATGAGGTATAGTTCAACAATGTTTGGTTTTCTGATGAGGGACACTTCCACTTGGATGGTGGGGTTAATAAACAAAATGTGCAATTTTGGGCATCAGAGAATCCATGTGTGATTCATAAGAACATGCATCATGAACCGAGAATTACAGTGTGGGTCGCCATCTCAAATCATAGACTGCGAGGGCCAATTTTCGTGGAAGAGATAGCGAACAGTGAGCGCTATTTAAGCATGTTGCACGATACTCTTGTACCTCACCTTCTTGCTACGGGTTTGCAGTTTCAAACTCAGTGCTTCATGCAGGATGGAGCCAGACGGCACACAATAAATGTTGTTTGGGACTTTCTGCATGATATTTTTGATTTGCGTTTCATCTCAAACCAATTCCAATAATGGAATTGAGAGCATTAATCATTCAGGCCTGCAATGAGATAACTGGGGATATGTGCCGTCGAATGATCAACATCACAGTTTGTCTTCAAGAAGTTGCTAGACGTAATAGTGGTGATATTGAACATTTTATTCACAGAGCATAAACCTCCAGGCAATGGTCTTTCTTTCTGTATGTTAGTTTCTAGTATTGTAATTGAAATAAAGATTTTATTATTAGATCAAATACTTGATCATTTCATGTGCCACCTTGTAATACTGGTTAAATAGACATGGAAAGAACTACCCTGCTAATGAATGACAAAACATTAGACACTACAGAAATCAATATAAAGGATGGTGCACAACATGCAATGAAGATATAAGGTACAATATTCTTCATCATAAAGTGGTCATTTGATCAGAATATGTAGAAGAATAAGAAAATCGCCACAGTATGCACAAACTCATGCCATTATTCTGCATAACAAATGTCCACATGTTAGGTGAGTGGAACCAATTTGAAAGTGTATGATCACGACTTCCTTCTTACTGATGGAACTTTATGACTACTGTTACATGGGTGTGAACTATTTCACTGCTCAAAATTTGTTATGCTGCATGTGTGTCCACTTGTCTTACTAGGCAGCCAAACAGTGTGAAAAAGAGAGGTGTAAACATTGTTGTCTAGAGCTTGTTGAGATTATAACTCTCTATACAAAGCCACTTCCTTTGCAGTTGCATTTCTGACACAATGCCTGGCAGGCTTGCATTGCCAGGTACCCAGCAAAAGACACTGATTTTGCTGCATTACGAAGGTGGGACACTTGGCATATAATCTCAATAACTGAATGATATTGTGTGTGCTCATCGAGAGAATGCAAGGCTCTTACATAGTCTATGTATAGGTGGTGACATTGCTGGGGTTACTGCCAGATAAAAAGAACAGACTGATAAACGGTATAGAGTTCACAGTATAAACATTGCTTAACTATGGATTTGGAAGGAGAAAACTTGGTCATCATAGATAAAGGCACAACTGGGAGAACCTTGAACAATCCACCAGAATACACAGCTGTGTAGTATGGATAAGCAAAAAAAGTATTCTGCAAAATAATGGTAAAATGCAAAGGCAGATGTTAGTCAAAGGCTGCAAGTTGGAATTATAAATATGCCAAGATGGAATTAGAGAATCTAATACAAATGATATGCTGCAAAGTGTATCAAGTCATAGTAGAAGTCAATGAAGAGCGCAAGACAGCCTGAGAGGCTGCGATGTTCATCTTATATCTATTGCAGTGAGCGGGGTGAAATACATCACCACAGAATGTGTGAATGAACTGTGGAAACAACTTTGCCATGTAACAAAGGACAGTGGAATTCCTCAGATTCCACAGACCCTCAACACAGCTTGTATGGAAGGTGCCAACTGCAAGGTAAATGCCAGTACCGTGAACAGGGCAATTAGAACTTCGATGGAAAGATGTACACAAAACTGTCACGGTATGTCGAGTGAGGGTCACAATAGCACCTGGTCTCTGCTTGAAGACCTTCAGTAATTGCTTGCATTTAGCATGGAGCTATCTCTAACGAGGATCCCACAAGAGGTGCTGTCCAAACGTAGAAACTTGACAGACAGACCAAATCATTCGTCCATATCCTTGACTGTGTTTGATGATGAATGATATGTCATCCCTCTTCATGATTAGTCTGTACACTATAGAAACTGAATGGTCAGTAAGGACACACTGGATCTCTCCATTCAATGTGACAGTCAGAGAGTCCCTTAACAACTTCCTGGAAGGCAATGAGAGATACTGTTTTCTGACACGCACTAGGTTAAATAAAAAGAGATTATATAAGATTTGAGGTTTTCACGGCGGTGACTATGAAGAAAGCAGTCCTCTGGGATGTGGCATCGTGTAGATGTGGTGTTAACCAACGTTTCGGAGGAACGTATCGCCTCCATCTTCAGGGTAGAAGGAAAAATAAGAAAAGTTAGCGATACGTTCCTCCGAAACATCAGTTAACATCACATCCACACAGTGCCACATCCCAGAAGACTGCTTTCTTCAAAAAGAGATTACCTTTCAGACATGTATTACCCAAGAGTGTTGTTAACTGGGACACATTCTTCACTTTGCCAGCAGGACCATCCAGGGTCTTCTGGATGAACAAAGGCATCTTAAAAGTCATGGATTACAGGATACTCAATTATGTGGCAAAATATGGAAAACTGTAAGGATAGAAAATCTACTGAAAAGCATGTGCTTCTCGCTGTTACAATGCTAAATTCTATATATCATCATCATCATCACTGGCACGACAGCTCTTTGTGAGCCCTGGCCTTCCTCAGAATTGCTCGCCATTATTCTCCATTCGATGCTACATTCCTCCAGTTCTTTACACCCAAAATTCTTATGTCCTGCCACACACAGAATCTTCCCATCTCAATCTTGGTCTTCCCACTTTCCTATTTCCTTCTGGTTTAGTATTAAGTATTTCCTTAATCGTTCTATTCTCGCTGGCACGTATTATGTGCCCAGCCCATTCAAGCCTTTTCACCTTTATAAATCCAATAATGTCTGGTTCATTAAATAGTTTGTATAGCTCATGGTTATACATCTTCCTCCGTATTCAATTTTCTTCCACTGATCCAAAGATATATCTCAGGATCCTCCTTTCATTTCATTTCATTTATTCACCTTCCATAAATCCTTAACAGTCCTTCATCCGATCTTGACAGGGGCCAGGTCTCAGAGGCATAAGATAGCGCTGATCTTATAGTGTAAGTACTTTATACATTATAGTTTTGGTTGGCCCCCCTGTAGCTCCTGACATCCATCAAGTCTGAACAATATCTTACATCTATTAGGATGTGATCAATTTGGTTAAACACATTTCCATCAGGGGATCTCCAGGTTCATTTATGTATATCCTTGTGATTAAACATTGTACTACCTACTACAATGTTTCTTGAGGAAACAAAATTTATTAATCTCATCCCATTATCATTTGACTTGTTATGTAGGCTATGATTTCCAATAAATGATCTATAACATCCTCATTCCCCACTTTAGCATTCATGTCCCTTATGATTATTTTACAATCCCTTTTTGGACATTCGCCATATATTTCATCCAGTTCATCATAAAAGGAGTCTTTCTCCTCATCACTTTTATCTTCAGTTGGGGCATGTGCACAAATAAGGCTGCAGTTAAAAAACTTTCCTTTAATTCGTAGCCTACATGTTCTATGAGATTTTGCCTGGAAGTCTAAAATAAGATGTTTCCTTTTTTTATCAACAATAAACCTGTTCCAAACATGTGACTCTTCTTCTGACAGCTATAGAATACAACATGATCTCTCTTTTCCATGACTCCTTTACCCATCCACCTCAGTTCTTGTATAGCAGTGATATCTAGTTTACAGCTATCTAGTTGTTCAAGTAGCATTTTTAGTGCTCCAGCTCTGTAAAGAGATAATACATTCCAAGATCCAATTCTCAAATCCTTTAAACATTTTCCAGGTCATCTTGAATAGGTCCGTCCAGCTACTCTTTCCTCGGATTACTGAACAATTTAGTTTTTACAGTGTGAGGTTGTTGGCTTCATGCCCAACCCCCAACCTGGAGGACCAGGGTATCCCTCTCTGTCTGGCTCCTACCCCTTGACCTGTCCGGCATGGGTGGCCCTACCAGTAGCTACGCTACCGCCGGCATAGCTCTCAGGGTCTCAGGAGCTCTCAAACCCCACCACCACGATAAGGTGGAGATACCATTGGTGGGGTTCTCTATATATAATGAGTAAAAATTATGCAAGGCAACATGATGGTGAAAGGGAGATATGTAGCATTTGAGGTTCTTGTAGCAGTGGTTAAGAAGCGTTCTATCTCCTGAAATATAATGACATGCAGTCCACTGAGAGCTAACCAATGTTTCGGAGGAACATGTCGCCTCCATCTTCAGGGTCAGAGAAGAAGCCATGCAAGAAATAAGCGTGAAGCAGGTAGCATGCAGAGCTAGCCACCCCTTACTACACACTATCCATACACATATGGGGTTACAAGGGTTCACAGGACTTGTGGTCGATTACACTTCAGTCTTGTTATGGGTAATATGCCAAAATGTCACAGGCAAGCCAACAGTTTCACCAACACTGGAGTGCCTATGCTATTTGCTATGCTGCACTATGAGTGAACAATACAGTGAATGTATACACATATTAAATACATATACATGACCTAAAAATAATATATGATTTTGATATTATTAGCATTGCCTCTGTAAAAAATGTTAAAGTTCATATTCCAAGATTAAACCTTTGGTACCATCTATCAGACTTACTCCAAAAGTTAGCAGTGAACCTAATGGTGAATGACAGGTGAGCTCCTGAGCTTGTCAAGTTGTAATATTCAGTTTAACAACCCAATTACTAACCTGGCATTTCATCTTCTTTCAGAATACCAAGAGAGGAATCAGCATCACTGTCACTCACAACTGCACCAGCTCCTCTACATCTTTCAGTTGGAGGCATAGTGCCAATGCTCTTGGTTACTGAAGCCTTATTCTGCTCACAAAATTGTGATTTTGCATTTCTGAATTTGTTTGAAAATGATTCTAATCCATCTATGGCACCTTTCAACTGAATGGCTTGATACACTGTTTTCAAATCCTCATGTATAACTGCTGGCATACTAAAATGAGACAAAAACTTTAAGTACACCAATAGTCTAAGTTTATTCTACTATAGATCTGTGTATCTATTTCTTCGATATGACCATAAACCACTCTCTGTATCTCTCATTCAAAATTTGGACAAGTACCTGAAGACTAACCTCAAAAAATGTGTGGCACTTTCCCACATTGTGAACCCCAATTCCCCTTGTTTTTTGGGAACAGAAAATTGAAAGCTCAAATTTGGTATAAATATTTATAATTTACATACATTTCAGGAAATAATTTTAAGATTCATCTTCAGTGCACACTTTAAGGCTATTATGAAAACCAGAAAGAAATAAACAATCACTTATTAGAATAAAACTACTAATTTAGTATTAATGGGATTTTGACAGTGTCCATTGTCTAGTATTAGAAACAGACAAGGATTTGGAAACAAGATCTGTTGCTGCCCACAGAAGAAAACTTGGGGAGGCACTTCCTCAGTTGGGTCCATCAGAAAAAGCTAATCTCAACTGCAGGGCAACATCAGCTACATAAGCACCTAGGATCAGGTTTTATTTATTTGATTTATTTAACAAAGCAGTCAATAGATAATACTATACAGCAGCAAGGGAATCAGGCTTTGTCAAAGAGAAATATATATAATGCGACTTCCACCTGAGGACATAACCGATCCAGCTTCTGGAACACTGAGTTCTGCTTGGAATGCTAGAATATAGAGACAGTCAAGATTCCCAGACTGCAATACAGGCCAACACTGTCAGAACCCTTTGGAATACAGCAGTAACCCAATATTCACAAATACATACTGTTCAGCCTATGAGAATCAATTAAGTTAAAAGCATACTAAATTAAACTGAACACCAATGACACAATTATTGTTTCATGTATTACAATTTGTGAAAAAATTAGACTAAGTACCATCACTTTGCCTGCACATAAATTTACTAACTTCTGAAACAAATTTAACAGTTTTCTGACATCTGAGATCTCATTCCTAATCAAATGGCAGGGACTAGTGAAATACTGTGTTTAAGAAACTTGTACAAATGGTTTATTCTTGTTTTGCTGGCCACTGGATCTCATCTTGGGCCACTTAAATCATTTTACATCTTAAAAAACCTAATAACCCCAGTTTCTAATGATAATCTTCCCATGTGATCTCTTTCCTTTAATTTTTCCAATTAATATTTTATATGAACTTCCTATTCCTGTCATGAATGCTACATGTTTCACCCACTCCATCCTTCCTGTCTCAGTTACCAACGCTATGTTATGTGTACAGCAAATTAAGTAATTTTTTCCATGTTTGTTACATATTTCTCTCAGTATAAAATGACTCTAAGCACCGTCCAGTGTGATTAATTTATAAAAGTTTATTTCAATATTTAATTTTCCTTAACATGTTTCGTTTGGGTTGACCACCTTCAGAAGGACATGATCAACATTTAGGAAATCACTATTAATTAAAAGTTATACTTTGTAACTACATTAAATATATGAAGTGGTTGGAATATTTATAAGTTATTATACCTAAATTATGTACAGATTGAAGTATTTAAAAGTAAAGTCATAAAAACTTCTTGTTAAAACAAGAACCAATGGTCTGTGTCTTGAAATATCCTCTCACTAAAGGAAGAAGACTGTGTATCATGACGTTTCAATGCCTTTGGCATCGTGGTCCTGTTGTGCAGAGCACTTTGTGTTGTTGCAGGTCTCAGGTCCAAACAAGGGGACAAATACAAATCAACCATATATTATGGAATCTGGTCACCAATCTCACAAATTATATAAAATACCAATCAGAATTCCTGTGGGCTACTGTAGATGATGCTTGTGGGACTGGTGTGCATGATGGTGTTTCTTCAACGAGAGTTCTTATTCCTGCACCACTGAGTTTTGGAGTCAAGTTTGCCATTGCATTCAGATGCCTGTAATGGAATATAAATGATTAAAAGTGATGTGAAAGAAAGGGAGATGTGAGGGGTTGTATTGTGGTTACTGGTGACTTATGTCTGTTTAATCTTTTTGCCTTGTATTGTTGTATGTGCTGGATATTTAATGTGGGTGATCTTCGCGGTGTGACTTTGTGTATGTGTATCATGACTATTTCCACATCCTGGGTTTGTTCCCTGTATGGATGTTTATGGAAAGTGGAGGATGTGTATGTATGTATATGACGAGTCCTGTATCAATGTATTTTGATTTATGGGAAAATTGTATTAATTTTAAGCTTTTATAGTAATGCACTTTTTAAATTATGTTTAGTTACAATTGTAATAAGCTCTTGTTTTTTTATATATATATTTCCTATGTTAGTTAACTGGTGTGTGTGTGTGTGTGTTATTTTAGTCGTGACTTATGTGAACTATTACATGTATACATATATAGTCAAATGGACTATTTCCACATCCTAGGATTTTTGCCTGTATGGATATATGGAAAATAAAGGAAATGAATGAATGAATGAATGAACTTCCTTACAAAAGGAAGCAGACTTTTGCAAGTTAGTTATAAATTGTAAGGAAATTCCAGTAATACAAGAACACAAATAAGTTCTCCCGTGAAAAATTGCAGTCTGGAGATATCTTTAGCAAAAACAGTATACACAAGTTCATTCCTAACTGAAATAAAAGCAAAGTGGTTTGTTTGACACAATGTGCTTTAGTAAAGTGAACAAAATTTGTCACTTCTTTAGTTTCCTCATGCACATCAGTAATATCGATTTCAACAGTGTATCAAAATGTATCAACGGATGCACATGAACTTTTGACAATGTGCCTTGTATTTCTCAAGCCCCAGTCTAGCAGTATGTATGTACTTCACTCTGCATGAAGGAACAGATAAAACAGTTACTTTATTGCTGCTGCATCTCAGTCTACAATTTTTAATTCTTTATGAGCAAATGAAAATATTAAAAACTCTGAACAAATAACAGCATACATTTCCTCGCAATTATTTTATTTGGCTAATTGCTGGGAAACTGAGAGACATTAAGAAACAATGTGAGAGTAATGAAAGTAGGGTCAAGAGAGAAATGAGGACCTATAGCCCTTTCTATATTTCTTACCTAGCCTTGAACTGAAGTGACCTGATTTTGTAGAAGATGAAGTGCATAATGGTGTCATGCAGCACAATAACTGTTGTAAGAAAAATATTTATCCAAAATACAATCAAAGTTATTGTATATTAATGACCTTCCATCTCCCATTAATGCAATCTCTAAACCTGGTCTCTCTGCTGATGATATAAGTATTATAGGGAGATTATCTGACTGCCTCCAATAAGACATTCGGCCAGATCGGTGGAACACAAGCTACTTGTCTCAATTAACATGGTGTGCATTGTGACTCATATAATAATTAACAGACCAGTAGCCTATACACATTACAATTTCTCTTCAATATTGCCCTAACGAATCTTTGTACAGCTTCCATGAAGAGCTTATGCTTTATGTACCCTCTGACCACAATCCCAAGCTGCTACAGCACTAAACATTCAATCAGTTGCATTACTTCTTGTATTTAAATGGCACATGAGAGATATACATTACAATGCAATGCCCACATGAAGTGCAAGGGAGAAGTTTCCCACACATTTCAGGATATCAGTTCCTAATAGAAAAAAACTATTCATACAATCACAAATAAATTTATATAGAGTCATTACTGGTGAGAAAGGAGCCAAATCAAAATGCCAGGTGCTTGCTGAAGAGAAACTGGATGAAATCAGTCGTCGGCTGAAAATTCCCCTCCTTGCACAGAAGACCTGAGTTTAATGTTTCAGGTTTCAAGGTTTCTCTGTCTCCAAATAAGATCTTCAAGTAGGAATGTGAACATTTTATAGCAGTGCAAGGGATGTGTGCATAAGAGGGACTATTTCCAGCATCTGCTGTGATCTGGGTGGATTTTGTTTTCTGGCCTATGGACTTGTCAATTGTTGTGGGTTTGAACACATGCAGAAACAGTTGCAATTTAGAGCTTTTCCTTCTCCTCCTGGACTGGTCATACAGTTTGCAGCAATGTAAGATTTTAAGTTTTCATGGCAGTGACTATGAAGAATGCCGTCTTCTTGGACGTGGCACCATGTAGATTTTGTGTGAACCAAAGTTTCGGAGGAAATATAGCCTCCATATTCAGTCAGAAAAAGACTGGTGGCTGTCTGCAGCTGCCTGCTCACGCTGGTTCCTCATTCGCAGAGTTTTCTACCCTGAAGATGAAGGCAATATGTTCATCCAAAACGTCGGTTCAATCAAGATCTATATCGCACCACATCCCAGAAGATGGCATTCTTCAATCTGCACCAAGTTCTCAAATAACCTCTGTAGTATAATAATCGCAAATCCCAATAGAAATTTATGAAATTATCATGATCTAGTGGTTTGTAAAGTACTGTCTTCTAGGATGTCACTATATAGCCATGCAGAAGTCTACCAACATTCTTAAGCATTAGCAGTGTTTTATAGGACTGCATGGTGTTACATCCTAGAAGACAGTACTATTCACACTCACTGCCATGAGAATCTCAAATTCAGTGAGTGGTTTCCAGCTAATAACTTTACTTTAAATAATGACAAAACAAACTTGAATGTATAAGGGGTGGGCCTTCTCGGCCCTTGCACCGCCACCTACAGTGATCTATTGTGCTTCACAAAACAAACTTAATAAAACTTGTACGCATTAACAAACACATAACTGATATGAAAAGAAGGTACTATGGTAAACCTGTACAGGAAGCTAAAACTACCAAGTTCCTTGTATCCAGACTGACAATTAATTAAATCAAAAAGTCACACTGAGTAGATAGTATCAAGATGATGTGCAACATGCTTTCATGAAAATCTCTTTCATTGCCTGCTAGTGTACAACTTTTAAAGACAGAGTAGTGGGTATTTAATCATGTCACATGGTATAATTTTATGCAGAATTTCAACAAACTCCAATAAAATATTCATTCTGCTGGAAATAAATATTATAGCTAATGTTAGTTATCAGAGAAGTGAGTTACTTCAGAGATTTTGCATAGCAATATTTCTTGGAAACATTCTCTTAAATGACATTTATTGTTGATAAATCTGAAAATCTTCAAGCAAATTCACAGATTAATTAAATAAGCACTAGATAGACTTGAACTTCACAAATAAACTGCTATTCTTACAGTCTAAAAAAACTGTATACTGTGCTCCCAGATACTGACATAAGAATTTCATCTAACATTACAAGAATTCCTTTTAATACATACCTTCTAGTCTGTCCATGAATTTTAAAACCTTACAATTAATGACAGCTTGTTAAACATATGTGGAATTGTAACATTCACTGTGGAACAATTATAAGGAATTTCTCTCTTTACCTGGGACTTTTTTTAGGGGGGGCTAAGCAGCAAGGGTGTGGAGCTGGCCACTAACCTCAATCTAAATCTATACATCCAGTCTCCCACACGTCTTCACAGAGTGAAATTTAATTACTTAAGAACAAGGGAAACGTTACCTCTACTTTTAAATATGTATCTATCTATTCATTGTCTACTGGGAGGTTATGCCGTGTAGTAGTCTGCTAAATATTTGCCACAACCACATCACAGAAGAAGGTAACTTTCAGGGTCACTACCATGAGGACCTCAAAATTAATTTATTATCACATCTAAAAGCTTATGATTAAAGACCGGATTTCACGGTAGTATTGCATTCAATACGGCTTGAAAAGTTTGTTGATCAAACATATTACAAGACCGAATTCAGTTTCCTCAGCATGATAACAATACTTAGAAATGAAAAGAAAAAATCCAACATAAATCAGCAAACAAGGCTAATACTACACTCAGGTCCTTACCTCCACGACCGTGGATTAACAGTATATAAAATATGAAGTATGCGCTTTCCACACTACATCGTAACTGCTGTTGTTCCTATGTAAGTGATATGTCTCAGTTTATGTAATATATGTTGCTGGTCACAAATGATTGTCAAGATGTTAGCGCCTTTTTCAAATGGAAGCCATTTACATTAACGCGATCTTTCGGAAACTTGTTAACTTAGACCAACGATGCATGTTCATGACCTGTGTCCGCCAGCAAGGACAGTATGATGTTAGGCTAATTGCACAGAAGGCTCCAGGGATTATATTCCATAACCTGTGTTCAAGAGCTTGGACAGTATGATGTAAAGCTAAATGCATAGAAACGATCACAATTAGCGAAGTTTGAATATTCTCCTTCCTGTCCGTTAAGTATGGAATCTGTAATTTAAGTATGAGAATGCCATGACGGTACTAATTCTTGTGACTGATCTCTGTGGAACCATGCGCGTTCGGTAGAGCGATCTCCTGCCGTTGCTCGTATTTCGAACTTATATAATCTCTGCCAGGAAAGTCTCCTGGAGACAAGTTGAAGGTGCTGTAGCACACGTGTGCCACGGATTAATACCCTCTTGCACCATTTTAGCCGAAGAACCAAGAAAACTTGCAACCGCAATTTCCGAGAAATGTCGCCGATTTCAAGCAGGCAACTGGTTTCCAGCTTAGCAGGCCCACGCTGAGGAAGCTTATGTTTGGTTAGTCGCTCACATCATCTGTAGTGGGTGTGTTCGTCCAACGTAATGCAGTACTGTATTTTTTAATTTCGTACAATTACCTTCTGCGATGGAAGGTAATAATACTGATCCTATTGAATCACTGGAGCGTGTTATAGAACAGCTGATATTAGGAAACCACGCGGCTACAAACTTGTGAGAAAATTGGCATGCTCCGTTTCCTGGAAATTGAGTTTCTCAGTCTCTTCGCGAGTTGCGTTGCCATTTCCTCAATTTGCGCAGCCCCATTCAATAGCATATGTTGAACTGAGGCTGATAAACAATTCTCGAAAATCGCGGTTGCGTTGCGTTTTCGAGATTCCTTGGTGTGTCCTCTGCCTAAATGTACAGTTTCACATTTCAATGACAGAAGGTAAAAACTGTTGTTAAGAGTTACAGTAGATGCCCAGAATGCTGGACTTGAACTGCTATACAAGTTCTGGCCCAGTGATTCATGAACTGATAAACATGCTGAGTGTTGCAGACTGAGGTACAGCTATTTTGAATGCACTGCAGCCATTCTGCAGTAACAACCACTGAAGCATACACCATTTTAGATGTCCCCAAAGGAAATACTGAAGGGGATTCAGGTTTGGTGAATAATTTTCATTTCATGCATCCTGTTATGTTATAATATAAAACCGCCACAACACAACTATATCGAGGCACTAACTAGGCACTGACCTCGATATAGTTCAGTTGTGACAGTTTTAATAAAGAAGTTCGTTTGGTGAATAATTTGGCCAGGATATTGGTCCCTGCAATCCAACCCATCACACAGTGCAGACAATCTCATGGTAATTTCTGGTGATGTAACTGAAATGGGCTGGAGCACCATTATGAATGAACCATATAATTTGTTGAATATCCAGTGGGACAGTATCCAAAAACTATGGTAAAGTGTGCTCAAAGAAATGTTGACAAGCAGCACCACCGATTCTACAAGGGCAAATATATGGGCCTACGAAACAGTTCCCAACAATACCAGCTCAAACATTGAGAACTGCTAGTGATGTCTGGATTGAACTGTACTATGTTGATTTACATCACTCTAAATGTGTCTGTTTTTCAAAATTTAGTATGCCCTTCACCAGTGAAGAGTACACAGCCATTAAAGAAGGGATTTTCATCACATTGTTGAAGGAGCTACAGGCAAAATCAAGCAGACTTACAGCTTGTATTTGTTGCAAATGGTATGGGTAGAGCAACTGTTCATTGAGAACCAGCCGCACTACAATGCACGCATATTCGGCAGCTTCAATTCAATGAATGCTGGTATGGCAGTTCTCCTTTACATTTCAGCATGTCCTTCTACATTAACTATTCATGAACTTCTCCATCTTCCAACGTCTACCATACTTACAGTAGGGTGAACAGTACTAGTCTCCCTGATGTGATGACCAGTAGGATGAAACATGGGTTTGGAAGTCTGTATTGAGAGTACCTCTCTGTGCACAACTTTACAGCTGCCGTACCATTACCATGGGCACTGTCAAAAATTATATGCATATTGACATATTCAAGAAATGTGTAGCTGTCCATTTTAAGCAGAGATTTGCAAAGCAGCTACTTGTACATTATTGAAAGAATAGCACTTGACTGTACACACAGTTCACTGGAAATGAATGCCTGATATATTCTAGTATACATGCTGAACTCACTAATCACTGTAAACAGGACAGATATGTTTTGTTGACTGGGCAAGGCAGTAGTCATTTATATTGTCCACTCTCAATTTCAGTTTCCTTTAAAAGAGTCTCTAGCATGCATTACTTCTGTAACCACAGCTCTAATCCTACTGCTGTCAGGAACACCTTAGAATGTCTCCAGTTTCTTACTGAAGCACTTGCAGATCCACATTCATTAAACTGTTTTCAATGTTTTGAGCCATAGTACACAAGCTTCAATTATGTGTACTTATCTCTGGGATACTGTATATATTTCTTCAATACTAACACCCTTACAATTTAAAACCCCTCAAGTTAAGACCTGCCCACCAGCCTCACCAGTTAAACTCTTTACTGCAGACAATAAAGGTTAAATTATTGTCGCAGAATGAATGAAACCAGTATTTCCTTTGCTATTTCCTCTCTTATTATTCTGCCTCAACCACCACCATGTTACATCAGGGTCAATATTATTTGACACTGCAGAAATTAAATGCATAAAACTAAAAAAACTGGATCACATTAAGTTTGACATGCACACCCACTTATGACTTGAGCAACTTCTAAACGTAAGTTTCCTCAGTGTGTAGATGCCAATTGGGCAACTGGTTTTCAGCTCAGAATGGCTGCATGAGAATGTATTCTCGACAGGATTTATGGAAGGTGAATAAATTAAATGAAATGAAATTTCTTAGAAGTTGTGATTTCCAGTTTCATTGGTGTGCACTTGCCCAAAACCTCTAAGATGAGCTGAATTCATCATCACTTTCACATAGAGAAGTTACTATTTTCTCCTTCAGACACATGTCTGCAAGATGATTAGCCACCCTGAAAGCAGCTGTCAGAAATCACTATTTCCTTTTTTGGAAAAATAAGATATATTTTAACACAAATCAGATGTGATGTCCAAACATGGCAATAATGACATCCAGTGATGACACAAAATATTTCACTCACAAAGAGATTTAATGAGTATATGATCTCTCTCTGTGGTGTAGGTATACGGATATTACAGTTACCCACAAGGTATGGCTGATTTCAAACTCCAGCATGCTAAAAGTGCTATGCATTTCCAGTATTCCTAGGCTGGTAAGCAAAGATACCTACCAGTGTTTGTTACCAAGTTTTAGTCTCTACACTGTATAAGTAACAAGTTGAATGTTTGTCAGTTTCACTGCAAGATAGGATTTCACAAACAAGGAATTATGAATATACTTCTAGATCAAGTTTTTGTTGGTTCTCCTGAGGCACCAATCAAATACCAGCGGGAACGAGTAGATACTGCTTGCTGTCGTACTAGACGCTTGGGGTCATCCAAACAAGACCCCAATTCATGAACAGTCTGTTAAAAAATAGAGGTATTAGGGCAAGTGCTGGAGTTGACAGAAGATAAACTACAGGTACAACTATCACATAAATTTACTATTTTTCACAGTACTGAATGGATTTGTGGGCTCAACATGATTTCAAGACTGTCGGGCAGTAGTTGCTTAACTTGTTCTTTGATATTTGTGAGTAAATTTCTGTAATGGCAGATTTCATAACAGTCACCAGCCATTAAAAACATATTGCAAATGGTTAGTCTATGCATCATCACTCTACAAAATTGGTACATTAATAACAATATAAGAGGTACGTGCAAATCAATTATCACCATCCTTCCCAATATAAGGCTCAGTTAGTCCATAGCAGATGTCACAGAACTGATCAACTTCTTCTGGATTCAAGTAGGGGAATTCTACTACAGCTCATGCTTTTCACATTTTCAACTTTGTCTCTTGTAAAAGGTATCTAATTGGTATCTATTAGTATTTCGTGAAATTTCATAGTCACTGACAAAATTAAAGGTAAAAAGGTAAAGTTGCCCCTGTGCTTAATTAAGTGCCATGCCAGGAATACGTATGGAGGAATGGACATATAACTCCACCATTCTTGGCCTCTGCACTAAATGATAGTGGTCAGCTTCACGCCCTGATCATTTTATTGTGGGGAAAGAGCCCATGATACCCATTGGACAGGAGGCTGGGTGGGCCTGGAGCTGGTCTAGATGCTGAAGAGTAGAGAAAAATCTCTTGGCCCTGCTGAGAATTGAATCCCAGCTGTCCAGCCCACAGCTAGCTGCTATTCCAAGCTCTCCCAGTTCATATGAAATTATCATGTTAATTTCACATATATTTTGAGAAATATAAAAATCTTTATTAACACACAGGACAAATGATAGAAAAAAATGGATTTAATATGATTTGAGAGTACAAATACTGCCATTTAAATCATTTAAAATACAAATATATTTTTATTCTTACATAAATAACTGTTTTGTCAAGTCTTACTGTCTTTTGGAATGTGACGCCATGTTTCTGTGAACATTCTGAAGGACCCTGCTATTTCCATCTTCAGGGTAGAAGAAGAACATGTTGTGAAGTAACAAGTAAAACTGAGTGCACTAAAAGACAGACACTGCTTACATATCATGGTAGAAGAAGAACATTACCAATATTTTAGGGAACCTACTGCATCTGTCTTCAACCCTGAAGTTGAAAGAAACAGGTTCTTCCAAAAAATATGTAATGTTCTACCAGACATCATGGCGTCACATACCAGAAGTCAGTAAATCTTCAAGGTCACTGCTGTGAGAACCTTAAGCCTTATACTTACTTGCTGTTTATATGGCAAAAGTAAGTGAGTTGGATAGTTGCACATTTGCAGCGCACACTGTAATGCAGCAATACGAACTTTCTGAAATACAAATAAACCAATATCATATACAAAGTAATGTCATGTGAAGCAAGTACACATGTCAGTTTGTTCTGGAAGGGTTTGGCAATGTGAGGATTATTATTTCCTTCAAGCTGCTCCAGAGAATACAATCACAGCAACTACAATCAGGGGATATAAGAAGCCAGAGACCTTTACTGGTCATTCCATTCTCAAACACCTTACATTTAAAAGTTCTGTCATCTGAGATATAATGCTGTGTAGCCTGGTGAAAGTAAACTGAGGTTTGGAGGAACATGTGGTCTCTGCGCTCAGGAGTGACGAGTAAGCACAGCAAGAAACCACCATGAGGCAGGCAGCTTCCTGCTTGCTGCCTGCTTTATGTTGGTTTCTTGCTTCTTGCTTTTTTCCTTCAAACCATCAGCTGACTTTCACCAGACTACAGTGCTTTATATTCCAGAAGACAGGAGTCTTCCTAACCGCCACTGTGAGAACTTCAAATCCTATATCATATATACACGACAAGGACTTACTTGTCTGAAGTATGTGCTGTCAAATTATCTTGCTAGAAATACTCCTATTGCCTATTGCTATCAAATGTTTGAAGAACATATTCAAAATACTGCTCATATATCAATCTGAATTTATAGTTTGCTGAAAAAAAATATTAGGCCCATGAATCACCATGCACACTGGCATGCGACTCCCATATTTCTATACTGTATAGCGACACTTGTTGAATGGCATGAGAATTTCATCATAACCTGAATTTAGAGTTTGCTGAAAATATACTGGACCCAAGCATCACTATGAACATTTTCATCACTCCTTAATGGTACAATCTGCACATTGACATGACACCTAAAGTGAAACCGTGCCTCACTGGGTATAAACAGCAGCTCTAGATCCATGGCTCTGTTCATACACATTTTGCTGCAAGGTAGTTATAAAAGGAGAAATCTTGGTGCACAATTTTGTTTAAGCTCATGTACAAACATTTTATATGAGCTAAATTTACTTAGTCTTACAGCTCTGAATACAGGTCTCAGTGACATACCAATTTCTTAGGCCACGCATCATAATGATGTTTCCAAGCTTCACACAAAACTTGATGCAGACATTTTGCTCGATTTTGCCAACCATCACAGAAAAAATGAAACATGAAGGTGAAAAAGCACTTGTGTAAAAATAGTGCGTGTTTACAGTGCGGTGTCATGTGGCAGACTGATGCAATAGGCTTTCTGAAGTGTGACCTTGGCCTCCCTTCTCTTCTTTCACTGAGGTAGTTACAATAATAACTGTCTGGGAAATAAATTTTAGGCCAAAAACTGAAGAGGCATTTGAAAAATATCACTGCAGGCCATTCACAACTGCATATTTAAATGCCATGAGTGTAACAGCTAAGATGTCACATATCAAAATATACCAATATACTTATTTATATTTAATTTTTAAACCATGTTCCTTGCCGATTTTTAAAATAGTTTGTCATAATTTTATCATATTTTCAGCAACTACATGCATAAATATCTTATGTCACTCTATTCAACTACTTCCTAATGCTATAGTTAAAAAAAATTGAAAAGCACCTTATGTAGTCTGACAATAAAGTTCACAAACCCGCCATTGTGTGCTTGCCTTGGTTGCAGTGAACAGAAACCTCAATACGGTTTGATGACATTGGCATATCAGCATTTCACAGCTATGTTGTTGATCTAAGGCAGTCTCTTTCTGAGTGGCATCTATTATTGTCTGAGTGTGTTTTGGTGTGCTGTTGCGAGAATGTCGGAACGAAGATTAAATTTCTCCTTAAACTTGGCAAGAGTGGACATGAAATCAGAGAGATGTTAACGCAAGTTTATGGGGATGCTATAAAGAAAGCCGCAGTTTACAAGTGAGTAACATGTTTTTCTGAGGGAAGAGAAAGCGTCACTGAAAAAAGAGAGATCAGGATGGCTAGAAATGAGCAGAATTGAAGAAAACATTGCAAAAGTTCAACAAATTGTGCGTGAAAATGTCGGCTGACTGTCAGGAGCATAGCAGAGCAAGTGAACATGGACAGAGAACAGTTAGGAAAATCTTAACTAAGATCTTGACATGAGGAAAGTGTGTGCAAAAATGATCCCAAAGGACCTGCTCACACGGCACTGTCTGTGAGGGAGTTTTTAGCTAGTAAACAAATAAACGTGCTGGAACACCCTCCCTATTCACCAGATCTAGCCACCAATGACTTTCTTCTGTTCCCAAAGCTAAAGGAAATAAGGCATTTTGATGACACTGATGACATCAGGAGTAATACGATGGCAGCTCTGAAGGCCATTCCACAAAACCAGATTCAAAATTGTTTTGAAGGGTGCACTAGGTGCTGGCATCGGTGAATAGCTTCCCAAGGGGAGTATTTTGAAGGCAACCACAGTGATATTCAGCAATGAGGTATGTAGCACTTCTGCCACGATGAGTTCACGAAATTTACTGTCAGATCACGTATGCTGCCACAGTTGTTCTTAATAAAAAGATTACTGTTTTAGTAAAAATAAGTTGACTCTAATCTATGACTTACCAAGGAATCTTGGAATCGTGTTAGCTTTAAGAACCTTGGAAGAAATGTCTGAATATGGCCTTCTAATACTGAGTGCTTGGATTCCAGAAGATCACGCAAAATTTCCAGAATAGAAAGTAACAGAACCACCTTGCTCTGTTCTAGTGATTCTACTAGAAGTGGGATCAACTGTAACAAGCATTAAATGTAATAACATTCACTGCTTCTTAGTTAAGAGTTGAAGTATTAACGAAATGTTTCAGTACTTAACTCCACGGTCCAAGATCTTCCACTGTTGTTGCAGCTTGTCTAAGATCATTCTCCCACATATGCATTGGTCTTTCAAATGGTCCCTTTCCTTGAGGTCTTCTAATTAAATTCTGTATATATTTCTTATTTTTCCTTATGTATGCTACATGTCTCAGTGACCTCAGTTCTCTTGATTTAACACAATTCTCAGTAGAAACTGCAGACTTCCCAATTACATAATTTTCTCTAACTTCTCTTACATTACATTTATTATATCCAAATATTTTCAACAGAACTTCATTCTCAATACCCACAGTCTATGTTCTTCTCACAAAGTAAGAAGAAAAGCTTCACAAGTAAACAGATTATGAGAAATCAAGAAGTGACCTTGAAAATTACAGAAACCTGCTAATTTGTACATAATGAGACAAAATCAAATCACAAAAACAGTCTATAAAAATCATTTAAGGGATACTAAATGTTATGTGGGTTTCAAGTTGTTAATTTCTGAGGCTATATTGTAACCACAATAATGGGTGCCTGCATTTGCATTCACAGAATTTCTTTTGATGTCAACTTCTGCACCATTTATCTTCATTCATAACCCACAGCTGTTTAAGTTATTATTTCCATATGCTTAGCAGAATTTCTGTTTTTAAATCTTTGTAAGTACAAAACACAATGTTAAATTTAACTATACTTGTAATGATTATACATTACTGATGCTTCAAATTTATACATTCCAGTCTACTTAGTGTGTTTTATACTCAACCTTTAAGGATTTTGATAAACTGAGCACTGAAAATGATACCCAGCATTTCACATAATTATTTGTATTCTGTAGAAGACACAGTGATTCTAGTAAACAGGAAAGAAGCATGTAAGTGGATAACATCATTGTAAATATAAATAATAAGATATTACAATATCCTCCTCTTTACTCCTTCTGATGAAGCGTACCTAACTAACACTGTGATAGTAGAACCCAAAAGTTCAACACCACTAATGCCAAAGCCCCTTGTTGGATATGATTTACAGATAGTTTTATCCAGCTCACATCCTTACAACTTATCTCCCTAACATCCATCTTAATGTTTTTATAAAGCTTACTGTGTAATGACATATATCATTAAGGGACTTGTTCCACCTTGGTTTCCTAAGTATTTTTGTAGAAGACATATTCCATTTTATTGCAAACTTATAAAAAGGATGCAACTACAAATGACGAGATTCCCTGGACACTGCCCATTACCTGGAGTTGATTTTTGTCTATAATATTTCGGAAGTCGGCTACTGCCATCTGCAGATAAAATGAAATGGGGGTACCTACTCAGCCTGGAATATCAAGATAGTTGCTGTTACTTGGGAACCAATCAAGATAGGTTTGTCGATTGTATGTAATGGACAGTGTCTTTACATTATTGTATCAAACCACTGTCACAAACATTTACAAGCAAATAAGGGTTTTGGATATTTAAGAGAAATGCTGACTTACTTCTGGCAAGCTCATGGTTAGTACAACTCTTGGAACTCCTTGAAGCATGTAGGCCAAGGCAATTAAAAAGTTACACCTCACAGGTTGGGCTGCATGATGATAATGTTCTACAAGTTCTGGAAATGTCTGGAAAAATCTTTGGCGATATAAAATCCTGCAACAGAAAAAAAAGAGTAATTACTGACAATAATAAGAATGCAAAACCATACAGAAGTCTCATAAACATCAATTTCTTACTAAATATATTGCAATGGGACCTAAGTATGGGGGGACCAATGTCACCTGACCTGTCTGGATTGTTCACAAAGCCACTCGGCTGATGCCAAAGGCCAAGGTTGGTTAGTTAGTTATTAGAGAGGGTGGGTTTCCCCATGCACTTAGACCTGTAGTGGTCCATTGTGCTTCCCTCTATGATTTCTACCAGCCTCTATATCCTACCGGTATTGGTGCTTACCATCAGTCCCGCCCAGCCAGCGAGACCGGCTCTACTTGGCTGAGAAGTATCTATAATGCTTCCCCCATATTAGTGGCTGCTGTTGGGCGGCAAACGTCCACAATTTTGCTCAGTGACCTCCTTTGGAGGTATGAGGTTCTTTTACGTGCCGTAAAGCTACAACACGGGACCCACGGCTTAAAGTCCCTCCCGGAGGACTTGTTCCCTGAATTTTTCCGCCCTTAAAAATTCCATGACCTCTGCCGGGTATCTGAACCCGCGTACTACGAGTCATGAGGTGGGAACGTTACCTCCAGACTACGGAGGCTGCTTAAGGCCAAGGTTACTTGAGAACTTGCTATAAGCTTCCCAATGGAAGACACATGGATAAAAGTAGCTCCCAAGTTCTCACGATGTTCAGTTCATTCAGTGCAATACACAGCAGCTATGTAGTGAGACAATAAGTCTGTCAGTTAGTGAGCCTCTTTTGTGAGTGAGTGCATGAGTTGTCAGTCAGCTGTCAGTTCAGTGAAATGCTGAGAAGTGGAGACAAGAGGTTAGTGCAGTGAGTGAGCAGTGCCATTGCAGTGAAGTATGGACCAGAGAACTGATATCAAGAGCATAAGTGGTTATGGACAATGTGACAGCAACTGCTCCTTATAAATGTTAAATATAACACAGAATACTAACATTTTTTCCCCTTTCTACTGCTGTTATGGTAATTATGTGTACATCAATAACAAAATGGTAAATATTTATTAAGTTATCTTTGTAACTTATTAATGGATTTGAAAGTTAAAGTGTTTTATTAGGTTACTAAACATGGACTTCCTTCTTTCAAACATTGATTCCAGGCTTATAATACATTCAGATTATAGTATTGAAAAAATGTACATAAAGAAAGGTATAAAATCTGCACTGGGAAGGAGTCAGAGATTTTAATTAAAAAAGATAATATTCTTCCCCTTCCTTTGGCTTCTTGTATTTATAAATAACACTGTTATGAAAGTGATTCTGAATGGGCTTTGCACACTTTTAGAAGGATCTGGGCTCAGGTGATTTCAAAATAGACAAGCGGAAGGCAAATTATATAAGACTGCCAACTAACTCCAGGGAGCAAATTCTCTTGAGAAGCTAACAGTTACTCCATTAGTAAAGAAATTCTCTGGCTTTTATGAAATCTGATGGTACATTTTCATGTTCACAACAACCCATTTTTACTTCCTACAGTATCATGTAAACCACCCAATTCATCAAAACAGTAATGGCTGGCACTGCTAGCATGAAACAACTTGCCAACAAGGTCTGTCTCCCTCTTTCTACATCTATCTCTACATCTGTAAAGGATGCTGGAATCTGATACCCAAAGGAATTAAGCACTATGCTTCACTGCAGTGGCTAGTGTTATAAACTGCGATTACAGCAAAAAAAAATTGGTCTTGCAGACAAAATTCTTGTTCAAGTCTTGGTTCTCAGAAATTTTCCAAATTGTCATCTTGAACTGTGAAAGTCATTCTTGTACACACCATGTAATAAGTATGGTAACCATCTTAACACTTTGCGGACCAGTGGCATATTTTTATGCCCAGCACTTTTAAACGTGGCGGACCGGTGGCATATTATTATGATTTTAAGAAACGTTATGTTGAAACACACTATACCTTGCACTGGCACCAGGCAGACGCATGACTGGTGTGTGATAGACCTCTTGAATGTTTGCTTCATAGTCAGTAACATGACCCCGCTGTTTATGACCCAACTGTTTTCTTTTCCCACTCCAAAAGAAAATACCTTTGTTCATCTTCCAGCTGCATGCACCAAGCAGGAAGTTACTAGTGCAAAATGGATCAAGGTCGGAAGAGGTTGAGGTACAAGCGTTTTCCCAGAGAACAAGAAATATCTGACTTGTTCTCCGATGAGCTATCTGACGTCCCTTGTGAGTCTGCTAGTGATAGCGACTCACAATCTGATAGTGAGTGTGGCAGGGGTGAACAAAAAATTGTGGCCACAGACAGTGAAAGTGAAAGTGAAAGTGACAGTAGCTCCGATGAAAGTGCAGGTAGCAACATTGCTGGGACAGCCACATGAGGAAAAGTAGACAAAACGCCTGCTTTGGGACAGTTTACTGGTAATCCAGGGGTGAAGCAAATTCCATCGGACCCAACACAAATGTCTGAAGTAGCAGAACTGTTTTTCCACAATTCACAATTCGAGCATGGTTGATGTTCAAAGGAGACATGGACAGGTAAAGAAGCCTGTTTGTATTTCCGAGTATAATATGTTCATGAAGGGAGTTGATAGAGCTGATCAGTACCTGGCCTATTATTCTCTTCCTCAGAAAACAGTAAAGTGGGCAAAGAAAGTCGCCTTGTGGCTTATAAATTGTGCCGTTTTCAATTCATTTTTGGTTTTCAAAAATCTATACCCTCATTCAAAATTGAAACACAAGGCATTTCTGCTGAATGTGGCAAAAGCCTGGGCTACAGACCAGATTGTGGCGGCAGACACAGACTTAGTGCGACCTGGTCCATCAACTCCCACCCCATGCAANCAGAAAACAGTAAAGTGGGCAAAGAAAGTCGCCTTGTGGCTTATAAATTGTGCCGTTTTCAATTCATTTTTGGTTTTCAAAAATCTATACCCTCATTCAAAATTGAAACACAAGGCATTTCTGCTGAATGTGGCAAAAGCCTGGGCTACAGACCAGATTGTGGCGGCAGACACAGACTTAGTGCGACCTGGTCCATCAACTCCCACCCCATGCAAGCCTCATGTGGACCCCCTGGGCGACTCTTGGTGATATGCGGAAACATACCTTCATGAAAACTGTGAAGAGTGAACATTCCAAGGGTAAGCAGCCTTCTAGGCGATGCCGTGTTTGTGCAGTACACAACAAATGGAGTATGACTGTCTACATGTGCAAGTTCTGTGTAATGCCACTTCACAAAGGGGAATGTTTCCAGAAATATCACACTCTCAAGCACTTCTAGGAGCAGTGGTAAGTGTTCTCCAAAAATTTTAGTTCATAAAATGAATTAGGAGATTTTGTATTAATTTTTAAAGTGAACAGTGCACAAGTTAGGGTAGTAGGTTTAAAAATCCTCAGGGCGATTTAAATATTTAAATCGCTGGTCTGCGAAGTGTTAATACACAGCATATTGTATACTCCACCATACAGTTTCATGGCATAGAGCTTCATTAAGTACAGGGACAATTTCACTTGACCAGTTCTTAGTGCAACGAGCTGTTTCTCAGAAATGAAGTTAGTGTTATGTAGGAGTTATACTGGACCAATATGGACCAAAACAAAATTCACTTCACTTTCAAGCTCCAACTTTAAATTGAATAAAAAAACATTCATTTTTGAAGATGAAAGATGTGGTCAGATATATTACTTCCCTATTTAGATTTATCTTACTTATACTGTCAAAGAAAATATAGAAATGTACAACCACAATAAAAAACTATTTAGGCAACAGAAAGGAAATAAACAAGACAGACCTGATATTGCCGTAGTTGTCAGAGTTCATATACTCCTCATTCTGAATCATAATCAATTTGAAGCCTTCTGCCACACAAGTACCAACAGCATCATGGCTCAGCATAGCAATTAACTTGCCTACCCATATATCTGTTTGTCTGTGGCCTCTCATAACAAGAGCTTTTGTAAGCCATGCAAACAAGTTGACAGCATTGGTAGCCTTCATCACAGGAATATCATCCTGATCTAATGTATCCAACAGGGTTACCAACAGATTAGACAACAACACAGCCAAAGGTTCATCTGAAAAAGAAAAAGGGACCCACATTATTTTAACCCACTGAAGGTTCAGATTTGGATTAACCACAAATGTTCATTGTGAAGAGGATTTAAAAGGGGCCGCTCTGATACTTTCAATTAATTTATGTTTCAAAACTGCTGACAACAACCTGTAGTCTCATCTACAAACATTCTGTATAAAATGTATCTTCCTGAGAGCAAAGTGCAACAGTCAGTTATTAAAGAACCATAATATGAACTCATACATGGTTGAAAATAAAGTTCCAGTAGTTCTAGTTCCTCCTCCATAAAAAAAAAGGTAAAGTTGTCCCTGTACTTAACAAATTAACCATTATGCCACGAAGGTGTATGGGGGAATGGATGTATAGACATTTTCTTGACCTTGGCACTAGATGGAAATGAGTGGTCAACTTCACGCCCCAGCTGCTTTTACCCCTCGGGGAAAGAACCCCCGGTACCAATTGGATAGGAGGTTGGGTGAACTTCAGAGCTGGTCTGGATGATATGGAGAAGACAAAATTCTTGACCCTACCTGGACTCAAACTCCTACCCCTTGGTCATCCAGCCCATAGCCAGTCTCTATACTGACTACACTATCGCAGCTCCTAGTTCCTCCTCTATACTATTTCAAGAAAACAGTGGCTCCGGTCTAGAAAACCGAAATTAATGGCTGTGGGGATTCGTTATGCTGACCACATGACACCCTCTATCCGCTAAAGTTCGCAGAAAAAGCACTCCTTACAATATTTACATTTTAGTATATGCGTAAACTCTCTAACTGAACACAAACATACCGGCTGGTTGTGCAATCTGATAAATTGCCAGTTGGATCTGAAAGTATCACAAACTTACCATCATGAGCTTTATTTACAAGAGAAGCCACAAACCGAGCTGCACTTCTTGATGTAAGAGGATGTGATGTGTGAATGGCAAGTGTCTGAAGCTGCATAACTAAGCATGACAGTGGTGGAATATTTACATCCTGCCTAACAGGACTTAGCAATGCTTCCAGTAACACCACCTGAAAAGAAAGCATATGCTGCTGTAAAGACTATAAGTACACATTAGCACAGTCCTTATCCCTTCGTCTATCATGTTCCAACTGGATCAATGCAGGTTACGTGTGTTAAAATCACAAGTGAAAGTGAAGCATCGAGGCAGAGTCAACTATGGCCAGGAACAGTTAAGGGTCACGAAGTATTATAAACACGTGGGCATAACCCTACAGACTAGTGGGAAATCCCTCACTATGCATTATAAGGAGAAACTGATATCCATAATATGGTCCATGGTGGACATACAGAGCTTAAGCAAGTAATCACTAAGAACAGCAATTAAACTGTATAATTTAAAATAGTCTCAGTTTTAACATATGGTCTGAAAATGCCATGGAAACATCAGAAAGTATACAAATGACATAATTTGAGAAGGCTCTGAGAGTTTCAAGATTCATACCCTCATGACTAGTGTATGTCCTCAAGAGAAAGTGTTCTGACAAAAAAAAATTACCTGCTGCCACACACCAGTACAGTGAAGAGATTAATAACAGAAAAACAGAAGGAGAACGAGATATGGTGTAAGTTCTACTTCACAGAAGCTATGATGAACAGAGACTATAATCTCATACATGATGCATCTTGCTGTGTGCTGCTTCCATCACAAGATCTGCCAGTCAAAAAAGGCTACCATCTGCCAAACAAAATCTGAAGCCTTTGGTACCTTCATACCATATTAAATGGTATCATGTCCCAGAAAACATTAATAACAAGTTCATACAGAGGAACTTACTGACTGAGTCACATGCCACGATGATGATGCCATGAGCGGTTTGAAATTATTTTCTTCTGGATTCAATCCAGAGTCCAAAAAATATGGAATAAACTCAGTTACAATATCTGATTGAAAACTGAAACAATGGAAAGATATCAGCACAAGTCAATTAGAACCTCTTATACAAAGCATATCAAAAATATTAATAACAGAAAAATCACCATGAACATTCCACAATACATTCTGAAGTGTCTGTGTTTCTGTTTTAATTTATTTAACACTACTTTGCCAACTGTATAAATTATACTACAAAAGGTGTTATAAAAGAACAATGTATACACATTATTATATTAGAATTTTTCTGACAGGAATAAGAAAAGCTACAAAAATCCTCAACACAATTGGTCATCGGGTCACTATTCAAACTTGGAACCCGTGACTATGAAGCATGCTTTCCAAACACTATGCCAGATATCCAGAAAATGTGAAGTTCATGGTTGAAATAGTAACAGTATACATAATTCCATTACTGAAATGTGTACTCAAATTTTCCACCATATATACCTCCCACCTAAATTTTATTTACTAATTCAAATTTACTTCAGCAACAGACTGTCTCCAAGTACAGTGCTTCATTCCATTCTTAGACATAAATATAGGGTGGCAGTCTTTTACTGATCAAAGTTGAAGTGTATGAATATATAAGTTATTATGCTCCAGATCAGAGTCTGGAATATCCAGCTATGTTCAACCCATAAGAAATTACCTTTCCGACTGGGTCCTTAAAATTGTGCTGACAATTGTGGCACAGTCAACCAAGAGGTCTTCATTACAGAATATCTGGGGATATCTGTTCTCCTGGATACCATGCAGCCACCATGTGACAAGTCCAGATACAGCTCCACACTGCACACACAAATATGTGTGCACCTTGGAGCCTGATTCAGGTGCTTCAACTAATGTCCTACAGAAAAATAAATATAGTGTTTTCAGGGCAAAAATAAAAACACAAATTAAATTACACTGTTGTCTGAAATGAATGGAATTTACAACACGTATGCTTAACACTGGAGAAAATAATAAAATGTTTCTCCAGTGGGTTCCATGAACCCAAGGAATATGCAAATATCCATATAGGGATCTGTTTTGGCTATAAGAAATTTGTACTGAAATGAGAAGCAAATTTTGAATGTAATAAAAACATTTAAAACTGTATTATGGCACAACTGTATTTATATTGTGCCACATGTAAGAACTCTATAGGCTTATTCTGTTTTTAAATAACACAGCACACAACAAACACATACAGGACAACATCAAAGAACCTTCTTGATAACAACAAGGCAGCACATGTTCAGCCCCCATCAAGAGAAATAATAAGAGGGATGACACGAACCTGCTTGGTTTCTGAATTCCAATAGAGTCTTAACAAATAAATTATAAATATTTTAATGTATTGGAACAGCCGCTGTAGTTGTAAAGACTTTAGATTTTAATCCCAATTGTATATAATAATAATATTATATGTGTNTGTCTCTGGAGACTGAAACATGTAAGGGCATAAATAATTGAAATAAGAAAAATCTTCACCAGTCACACTGGATGGAACTGTTCCACTTTTCATAATATTATTAGTGTGACAGACCAGAAAGAAACAAATCAAACTATTTTGATAGATTAGCAAATAATAAGACTCATAATAATTTAATTGACAAAAGAAAGCAATTGGTATAGATGATATATCCACAGACATGATGGAAACCACATGGTCAAGTGAGATTCACTGCCTGTAAAACTGTGAATGATTATGAAAAAGCATAAAACAACCCCAAATAATTGGAGGAAAGAACTGTTCCAGCACATAAAACATGCGATAGGAAATTGTGTAAAAGCTAAGAAGGAATAATGATGCTCTGGTATGTCTGATTCTTTTTTATGGTCAATAATACACATAAAGAAAGAAACAGGCATGTGTTTCATGATACAACAAGCTGTATAAAAGAAGGTAGGAGCATGGAAAGGAGATGATGGTGACACAGAGGAGGTGTACTGTAATATGGATGGCCAGAGCGTTGCTAGGTAATGGAGTGGTAAACACGCACGATACCCGCTCACAACAATGGAAGGATATTATGCAGCCCGCTTCTAGGCAATGGCTCAGTAAACAGACTTCCGCGCTTGCACAGTGACATCACACTGCAACAGTACTACCATTTGTTATTGTGTTGTCTGTGCTGTGCCTATATAACGAATATCTGTTTAAGATATAACTCCGTCTTAAGTGCAAACTATATTTATAGGTCTTTCGTTTTGTTCCTCTCTATACACTACATGTTTCGGCCCCAAACGGCCATCATCAGGTGTATACACTCACGTATCTGTTACACTGCACTTATTTATAACATTTAAAATTTAAAAACATAGGTCTTCCTGATTAGCACTTATAAAATCTTCGGTTCTAATTTGAAATCCTCCAAAAAAAAATTTTCTCTAAACTTTAAATTTTAAAAATGTCAGGGTTACTCGTCCTGTGTCTATAGTGCTGCAGCAGCTTCTTCTTGTTTCTAGTATTGTATAGGTGTTATTCTGTGTAGCCTTCTTGTGTGCATGCCGCGGTTAAGTCACAGTGTGTGGAGAGTTCAGGGGAGCTCAAGACAATTGAGAGACTAGGGTAGAGTGCATACAAGAGCAGTGAATAGAAAACCTGACATGTGTTATAATTACAGTAATCTTGAAAGTGTTAGAATTATTTGTAGTTACAACTAGTGAAGAGCCAATAAATTGATTCACCAATCCAAACCCGACTCAGTCACCCAAATACGTGACAGTATGATAATGTACACAGAAGAAAAGCTTGGTCTAATGTGCAGAATGCAGATGAATATTTAACACAGGAATCATGGACTACAAAAATATTTCTTTTGTGTTCCTTCAGAAACGATGGATAAAGGTTTCACTGTATTTTGTATCTTTGTTAACTGTCAAGAATATGTTATATATTGTGTTTTGTGTTTATATTATTTAGTGTTTATATATTTTTAGTCACATGTACTCTGGTGGCCAGTGTGTGTGTGGACTATGAACCTTCCATGTGCGTGGATCTGTTACATGTGAGGGAAGGGTACATGCTGCTATCTGGAGTACAGTCCGTATAATGCCTCAAATATTGGGTTGAGTCAATGTGAGTTTCATTTATGTTGAGGCTGTCTTTCCTAAATAAATAAATATGGTATTTCTCTAAACTGTTTAAATGATTCCCTTTGTTTCCTGTCCTTACAATGTCTATGGTGTTAATTACAGTGTTTTATATTATATTTAAGCATCCTGTTGCACTATACACTTCTATATGTAATAATATAAATGCCGTCATGAATGCAACAATTAATTTGGTTGTAGATCTTTGTCTTTTCTTCCTCTACAGGCTGATGTTTTAGATTTTGGACTGTGTGCAGTGTGACAGCTACATAGTGAAAAATACACCTGATGATGGCCAATTACGGCCAAAACATGTAGTGGAGAGGAAGAAAAGACAAAGATCTACAACCAAAGTAATTGTTGCATTCATGGCGGCATTTGTATTATTACATATAACAGTGTTGTATGTTATGTCCTGTATTTAATATGCAGTTTGAGTATCCACTATTGCTACTGTCATATCTTATGACTTGTATGTGTCCTCTGTATAGTAGGATGGTTAGTGAATGATGAATTGGAAAGGATGTGGTAGGAAGAGGTCAAGAGGTCAGAGCCTATTTCAAGGTACTACCTTGGCATTTGTCTAGGGGGACTGAAGAAAATCATGTAAAGCCTCAGTTGGGACAGTTTGTCTCCTGGATGAGATTTGACTTAAGCACCTCCTGAAGTCACAAGCATTACTGCCTCAGTAACAAATGATGTACAAAAGATGGCAGGGAAAGGGTGGCTACAAATACAATATGAGAGCTTGTGGTTGGCTGGAGAAGAAAGTAGGAGATATGTCATATGATGACCCACTCAATGGAAATGTCAGATGACAATAAAAGAAGGCAATCATGTACCAGAATGTCTGACAATTTAGCACAACTAACTTAATATGAATAGGGAATTTGTAAGAATGTGTGGAGTGTCAAAATTTATTGGAATAAATGAGGAAAATCCACAAAACCCTCAGAATAAGCAGTACAGAAGCTGAGATTCATATCAGGGACCTCATGATAGGAAACAGTACTAACCAGTACATTACAGTGTTCTGTACAATAGTTTCTGTTGACATGATTGATAAACACAGGACTGTGTTAATAATAAAAATCACCAACCTTCTCATACAAAGAACAAAGAACCACACACGGGTATCTGTATTAAAATTCACAAGCAGAAATATATCTTTCACAGTCAGTTCAGGTCCACTTATCTGATATTAAGTATGTGGTCTGCCTATTAATGAAAGGGTCAGAAAATTAAGTTCAGGTCCACTTATTTGATATTAAGTATCTGGTCTGCCTGATAATCAAAGGGTCAGAAAATTAAGTGCTTCAAAAAGCAAAAGTAACACACTGTATTCACTATAGATGCAAAAATGGTAAATTTTAGGATTATTTCCTATAATTTGGCCTTAGTTGAGCTGAACCACATGTAGTCAATACAGAAAGGTTTCACTGCATGTTAAATATATGCTCTTACAGTTTTGTAAGTCTTGTTCATGTTCATTAAATAATCTGTAGTTCTTCACAAGTCAGCACAATTAGAATACAAAAGTTTTCTTACCTAAGGCTTCTAATTCCTGCACTACATTCATCTGCCTGATATTTTCCAGTGATAAAACTGAGAATTCTAGGAACTAAGTACTCTGTGAAAGGTTCTGCAACAGCAACTGCACATAAGGCATCCAAACATCGAGCCACAACCAGGGCATTATGTTCATCTTCTGAACCCGGATCTAGAAGACAGGGAACTGACTTTTAGAAAAAGATCACAATTCATCCTTCAACATAAAGAATGTAACAATATAAAGAGTTTCAACTGTTGCACATGGACACTAATTATGGTATTAGGACAGGAAGTAAAATCGATATAAGTTTAAATCTGATGCATTGTCACATGATTTAGTACGACTATAAATGGGTCCTCTAACCAACTAACCAACTATTTTCTTCACTCAACTCAACTCAACTGACTTCACTTCACTAACTGTCCTGCTTATAATATCTCAGCATGGACTGCACAGAAAACACCACTCCTCTGTTGGTGTATGAAACTGCTGCTGTAGAAACATGCTTGTTTGCAAAGCTGTTACTTAGTAATGGTCGTTGTTCATTTGCTTGTCTCACGGTCATTGTCCAGCAACAAGTCTACATGCCACATTATGATATCATTATAGAGTGCAACTGGACTCCTTCCCTGGTGTTTAAAGTTCTGAAACAAATTACATTGGTCTTCACAGAAGCGTTCATGAACACATACAGACCTTTACTGACCACTGGCCATGCTTGTTGGCAAACAGACCATGTAAAGAGATGCAGAATTATAACACTGAATATTAAACAGAGAAAAAAAAGAAATGAGCAAAACAGAGACAGCAGAAGTGCATTCTTACAGGATGGCTGCAGGATACAGCATGATGGATCACAAACATAATGAGGATATTAGACAAATGGAAATACAAGGTGGTTCAAATATGACTGAGAATGATTTTTTTTTTTAAAAACCATAATTGCCAAACATTTACTTGCATATGTCAGTCTTCAACGTACTCCCCTCTGGAGTCAACACATTTTTTCCAACATTCTGGAAGCATCCTGATGTCCTTTTCAAAAAAGGCTTGTGGTTGGCGGCGAATCCACTCCCGAACAGTCTGGATGATGGCATCATTGTCCACAAACCACATGCCTTGCAAGTCTGATCTGAGCCTTCCGAACAGGTAGAAATCACTTGGGGCCAAATCGGGACTGTACGGCGGATGTGTCAGAGGGTTCCATTTCAATTTCTGGAGGGTTTCCATTGTTGTTTTGGCCATATGGGGGTGTGCATTGTCTTGGAAGGAAGGCTACCCTCTTTCCACCTGTCTTCCGCTTGGATCGGATCTTTTCCTTCACGTCTGTTGCCAGGAGGTCTGAGTAATAAGCTGCATTGACCGTTCTGGCATCTGTCAGAAAATCTACATGGATAACACCCTGCCAGTACCAGAAGAACGTTGCCATCACTTTTCCTGCCGAACAGCTCCTCTGTACTCTCTTGGGTTTGGGAGAACTGGTATGCTGCCACTCGCGTGATGACTGCTGGGACTCAGGAATGAAGTAGTGCACCCATGTTTCATCAGTGGTCACTAGAGACTTCAAAAATGCATCACCTTCATCTTCAAGCTGCTGTAGGAGATGACTGGCAGCTTGCATGCGCACCATTTTGTTCATGTCCGTCAAAGTGCGTGGTACGCACTGTGCATTCACCTTGCGATAGTGCAGGTGGTATTTCACAATGTCTTCTACATTACCAACACTGATGGACAGCATTGCTCCAAGTTCCTTGATAGTGATGCGCCTATTCTCACGAATAAGTGTGTCTGCACAATCAATGTCTGGCTCGGTGATGGATGTTCGCGGCCGACAATCATGTGGTTCATTCTCCAAGCGCTCTCTGCCCTCTCTGAAGCACTTACACCATTCAAACACACGGGTCCGTGAGAGACACTTTTTCCCCTACTGTTGTTGGAGTCTGTGGTGAATTTCAGCGGTTGTGAACCACGCGGGTAGCACATAGCAGCTTCAGCTGGCTGTTTCTTATGTGGTCAGCGGCATCCACAATGCGACCAAGCAAAGCATCCTGCATTGTCACCAGTTCTTTCATCCATTCCCACACACAATAATCCAGTGGGCTTAAGTCTGGAGACCTGGCTGGCAATTCTTCGCGTACTCGTACGTGGACTGCGGTGTACCATACGAACAATGCCTTCTTCACTGACACCTTCATTAAGACCACGCTCGACTGCATACGAACACTGGGAAGTCTACCGGTATCTCATAATGCCTGGTAAACTCCAGTAAACACTCTCTGGTTTGGTATTCTATGATTCAGAAACCATTGCTGATATTTAGCTACGGCACAAAATGAGTTACCATCACAAAACCCGTACATATAAATCATATCTGCATACTCCTCAAATGAAAATGTAAATGGAATCGTGAACGTAACAGATGCACCGAGATGAGAACTGTTCTCAACACCAGTAGCCGCCACACCAGCTGTGGCTGGACATACCAACCCACCACGCCTTAGGTACCTCTCAAGTGTCGAGATAACAAGAATGCTCTGTCTGTAGCTGGCTAAAAATAGTGACCCACCAGATGATAGACACAGTTCACATGAGGGCGTGTACGGGAATGAAAAAACAGTCATAACTCTGTAACCGTCCAAAATCAGATGCATGTTTATATTAACTTTTTTGATCACAAAGACCTAGGAAATCACCTCCTGCAGTTATGCCCTAAAGTCGTGAAACACCCTGTATATAACATTCACCTTGAGGGACTGACAAAACTGATTAACAACTCTAGTCCAGGACAGCAAGTGTCCCAGATGAGATCTGAACTAGGTACTTCTTAAATACATTATTATTTTGAATTCTAAAATCTGTGTCAGACACATGAGGTCATCTGAGTCAATTGGAAAACTAACACTTAGACAAGTCAGCCATACCATAATTGCAATAACATTTTATGGAACTGGATTCAAGTATTCTTGCTGTATAATATAACAATGTTCATTTACATCTTTATCTTTTCCAGTATTAGCTCTATTAAAACCTATTACTGCTGTTATAAAACAAAATCCTTCCATCATTTTAGACATCGTTTCAAACTTCTTTTTCCTTTTGGTTGGCATTTTAAGATCTCTTTTGGAATCCTATAAGAGCTCGTTTCAGTTTCTTATGTACTCTTGCAAAAATTCTGTTATTTGTGGGATTTGTAGTTCTCTCACAATTCCACTTCTTTTACAGTCTCCAAGAATATATAAGTCAGTTCCTCTCAATAACAATGTTATGGCATCCATTACCTGTGTTCCACTGCAATCTGGACAATACAACTGCCTCCATAACCTCATCAGGATACAATTTGGCCAACACTTTTAAACAAGCAGTAACTTCCTGTCTGAAAGAAGAGACTTTTTTTTACTTGCAGTATACACATTCCATGAATTCTTATACTATTAAACAAATCAATGCTTGATTATCAAGCTCGTACTATTCACATTACAGAAAAACATAACCACCATGTGAATGTACAAATACAGTACAGTATAAACTGTAATTAATTCACACACACAGGATGAATTAATTATGTTAACTCCTTGCAGCATGAGTTTCATCCTAAAATTTAGAAACTGACTTTATGTCTTACAGAGAACAACTGTATCTACATTATGAAGACCAATTTGTTAATGCTGTTTAGGGAAGTAATCGGTACTTATTCTGAGAATCATACAAATAACATAAATACCCCTGGAAATATGTATGATTTTGTAATGTTACAGTAGGTGGTATGTACATTATCATTGTGAGCTAAAGGGTGAACCAAGCACAAGTACTGTGTATGAACTACACATTCCTGTGCAGACCTATACTCCAAGACCAGGCACACAGCTTACTTGACACCTTCTTGTGTAGTCTGAAGGCACAAGTTTTATCATTCATTTAATTCATGGCTTCTGCCTGCTTTCCAGTAAACTTATTCTCTGAGATTTTTAAATTCTTACCGTTTCTTTAAATTATTTTCCAATAAGCAGACATGAAAGCTGATCAATTTCTGTGAAGCATAAAGTCACAACTGAATAGGAGAACATTAATGCAGAAAAGCATATGAAGTTTGATGATGTAATTCTGAACAAGGAACAGATAGACCACATCCTTAGATTTTTTAAGCCTTTATCTAATATGTAACTTCAGCTACCAGCAAAGCACACAATGGAGCAAAACCATGAAAGCTGAAGTTTAACAAGAGAAAGATCACTTCCAAACCTACAAATACTGTCAAAAATGAATGTCTGCAGAAATTAATTCCATCCATAAGCTGAATAAACCTTCTGAGTTTAATGAATATTATATCGTAGTCACTTGACTTTGGGTGTAGACTGGCACCCTATACTCCAACCATAAGGCAATACACAAAAAAACTCAATAAATCTACAAAGTATTGGAAAAAGTTTCATAAGAAATCTACTAGAATACACTGTTTCCTTCTTTGAAAGTCTGATTACTACCCACCTGACCTGAGCAGAATCTTCTTGCTTCACATATGTACACAGAAGTTCATACACTTCTTGTCTTGTCTCATGACATAAAGATCTAGCGGAGATTAAGAAACCATGAATACCTTCTACCCGAATCTCACATTTGACATGTTGTGCTGCATTCATATATAAGCTCTGAATGTCCACCCATATTGGGGCCAGGATAGGAACAGCTGAAATGTACGTGAAATATAATCTCCGATACAGTGCTGTAACTTAAACAGGATGTTCTGAAAAAATTCATAAATCCTACTGTCTGCTGCAAAGATTTCTAGTCCTATACATCTGTAACAATTATAAATGGCATTTAATTTTATTTTTGTGAAGAACTTATTACCTAAGTATGAATTCTATGTTAGTTAATTTGTCAGATATAATCTGTATAACCTATATAATTTACATAACCTGTAACTACATTTGTAATTGTTGATTTGCACTAATGTGTAGGTATGTTTATGTTCTATTCCCATACCAACTTTCACATGCTTAACATCAAGAGTTCACTGGGTATTCCCACCACTCAGAAAGTTAATTTTACAGCCAACAACGAAATTATCTCAACAGCATAAATTTTGAAGACCCATTACCAGCAGGACCATAAATTAAGGGATTCTCCTGTCACTCCCACTTCAATCAATCAATTTATTTGTTCCAAGAATCCATATTTGTTAATAGAACCTCCGGATATAGAACAAATCAGTAACTACATATTAATATAACATACACGGTGTGTCCAGGATCCGTTAGGACTGGATTTTTTTAAATTTTGCCCTGCAATGCCATCTGTTGGCAAGTTGTGGCATTATGATTCTTAAAGTTTCAGCTGTAGCTGTCTATAATTTCAAAGCGCAAGCATTGCTGCATCATATGTTCTGACTTTGAATGTAACAGTACTGTTCTGACGCTTGTCATTGGAAAATGGTGGTTGAACAGAGAGCCAACATCAAATTTTGTTTGAAGTTAGGCAAAACAGCTAAGAGAAGCATACAAAATCATGAAAAGTGTGTATGGTAAGGACTGTCTGAGTCGCTCGAAAATTTTTTGATGGTATGCTGTATTTCGTGATGGCAGGGAGGACATTGAAGACGCTCCACATGCATCAAAGCCGAGAACAAGTCGCACTGAAGAAAATGTGAAAAAAGTGACCGAAATCCTTGCATCAGACAGATGTGTTTCTGCAAGACTCATCGAGGAGCTTTTGGGAATACCAAAAAGTACTGTGCATCAAATTTTGACCGAGGATTTGGGCACAAGGAAGGTCTGTGCGTGGTTTGTACCGCACACACTGTCAGATGGTGAGAAACGTGCCAGAGTGGAACACTGCAAAGATATGTTACGCTTGGCCCAAAGTGATACAAAATTTAGGAAATTGATTGTTACTGGTGATGAGACATGGTGTTCTCAATATGAGCCTCTCACAAAGAGGCAGAGTGCAGCTTGGTTGAGCCCAAAGAAGCCGAAACTAAAGAAAGGCGCATGCAAGAGTCAAGTGAACCATCAAGTGAAGTCAACCGTTTTCTTCGATTCCAAAGGAATTTCTGCCAGAAGGTCAAACAGTGAATTCTGATTATTATCTTGGAGTCCTCAATCGTTTGTGGGCAAGAATTCTTTGAATTCGACCTGAATATCCAGAGCAAGGTTCCTGGTCGCTCCTCCACGATAATGCTCACCCCACAAATCAAAGATTGTGTGCAATTTTTTGGCCAGAAAAGGGATCACAATCCCTGATCATACTCTGTAGTCACCAGATTTGGCTCCAGCAGATTTCTGGTTGTTCCCAGAAGTTAAGTTGGCGATGAAAGGAGACCGTCATGACACCATCCAGGACATCCAAAGGGAATCTACTGCAGTTTTAAATGCAATTCCACTAAAGGAGTACAGTGACTGTTTTTGAAAACTTTTCAATCGATTCCAGCTATGTATTGATTCAGAAGGAGACTATTTTAAATAAAAAGAGTGAAATGTTGAAAATAATTCACGTCTTGTATTTTTAATGAACACAGTCCTAACAGAACCTGGACACACTGTATACATATCATACTTGAGTCAACTATACTAAAAAATTTAACCGCTTACAGATTTCACAAGTCTGTTTATCTGCCATGGTGTTATTATTGGCTGTAGGAATTTAAAAAGTATGACACTGGGGTGACCTCCAACAGCATAAAATTCAAACCAAGTTTTGTGAAAATTTGTCATTCTGTTATAGATTTAAGAGACAAACAGCCTGGATCTATTTCTTTCCTTAAGGAAGAAAAGTACGATTAAAGCTGCAAAAATGGCTGCCTCAACATATAACTCTAAGGAAAATTATATTTGTTACAATTCATATTCAGTTTGGTTTTTCAGAATACATAACTATTACTATATTATTTTTGTGGCTTATTTAAAGACACTGTCGGTAGCTCCTCAGGCTATTTACAGCATCAAGTAACAGGATGATTAATGAATGATGAATTTTAACTTGCAATCCCTGTGTTTAAGCAACCTCAAGACTGCAGTCACTAGATCAGCAGATACTTCTATGTATCCATGTACTTACAACAGTCAAACACCTGTCAGCCCAACCCACCATGTTTCTCCCAAAGGGCATATAGTGGGGAGGGGGGATGGAGAGAAATGCTCCTCATGTAGAGACAACCATGGTAAAATTGCTGATTTTGTTATTACAAATGTGGTTTTGAATTCCAGTCAATTTTCTCTCCCATTATTTTCCTCTATAAAAAAAGTACTGATAACACATGGTAGCATAGTTGGTAGAGGCCCTATGCTACAAGCGGGAAGGTTGCGGGATCAAATCCCAATGAGGTGGATTTTTTTCTCAATTTATTTAATCCTTTCAGCCATACTATGGCCCTGGTGTCAACTTAACCTCTAACAGAAATGAGTACCAGGAATATTCTTGGGGGTAAAGGGCAGCTGGTGTGTAAGGCTGACAACCTTACAGCCATCTATGAGACGACTGTCTAGAAAATGTGGGAACCTCAACATCTCAGAACCCTATGGGCCTCCACGGCTTGTTAGGGGGATACCTTTACTTTTTACTTCACTTTTTACTGATAACAATAAGTCTGTAACCTGTACATATTTTCAAAGTAACCACAGTAATGAAATGTGTTTTGAAAATCATAAAAATAATGTGTGTGGGAGTCCAAGAACATGAAGTCATTAAATGCAAGTAACCATCACAAACAAGAAGAACTGTTCCTCAAACTGCAATGCTGATTTTTCTGCAGGTGCAAGCTGGTTAAATTATACTTGTCCTTACTGGTGGGTGTGACATGTTGCTCCTCACAAACTGCAAGAAACATAGTAAGAGTCTGCAGCACAATGGTCTTCCCCTCCAGACTGGATACTTTATGATACTGGTTCAGCAGCAACGGTACCACCTGTAACCATATATCATTCATAACTTCAAAAACTGTCATTGTTACCATTCTATCTTTCATATACAGTGGAATCCCCATTTAAGATGTTCTCTCATTTAACATTCAATCTGAATATCCCAAGTCAATAATTTCAGTGTTAAATTTCTTCCATTGCAGCTTATCCTCAGTTAAGTGTTCATATTCACAGTTCCCTAAAGAAAGCTTAAAAGGGGGCTTCACTGTAGTAAATTCAATACAAAAGAGTGTAACACTTGACGACAAAGAGCAATCACTTAGTCTAGAGACATGACAGTATACATGGCTACAAGAGAGGACAGGAACAGAAAAATACAATATAACACACACAATAAAATAACATGAAATGCCTTTTAATATGCTTAGACTACTAACAAGCAGAGGATGAAAGCAGAATAGAATAAGTTGACTGCTCTGATTCTTGAATTCAAGACATACATAACTACATTCAGTGTTTAGACATGCACTGTTAATAATATTTAATGTTTTTAAAATCAATGATGCAACAGACAATGTACTGTAAAATCTGCAACACACTTTACATTTAGTAGGCACCCCAGAGGACATCTTAAGAACTGCAACATGTAAGGCAAAATAAATCTTTCATTAGTTAAGTCTCACAGCTGCATCAGGTGACTTCTTACTAAACTGGATAAATATATATAATCCATATTTCAGGAATCTGTCATTAGACAAAATGGAAAAATAATCAGTATGAAGAGACTGGGGGTATTTGAGAATTAGTACTCAGAAGATTGGTTGCGCCTATAAGGGAAGTACCTGGAGGATGGAAACAATTACATAATGAGGGGCTTTGTACATAATTTATAATATTCATCAAATACTGTAATGTAAGTTTTGAGGTTTTCATGGTGTGACTGTTCAACTCTGGTTTTGTGTGTTGTGACATATATTCTTGTACGTGGAATGTGACATTCTGAGATGAAAATGCTGCCTCTATATTCAAGGTCAAGGGGTGAAGAGTGAGAAATCTGACTGATAACAGACAGGTCACAAGGAAGGTGGTCAGTCATGTTCACAGGACATGGTGAGCTGACAGAACTTGGTTTGGGTTAATAGGAAGGGTGAACAGAAAAACAGCCCAAGCACCATAATATTTTCATTACAGAAGGGGAATGCAATTGTGAGAATTTTTGCAACAGAAGGGAAATGAAAAAATGAGGACAGCCCTCTCCAGGACTCCTGCTGGTGGAATGTAGGACATGAGAATTTTTTTTTCAAGGCCCTGGGAAGAGGAGCATCATTTCAGGAAGAAGCAACTACATTGTTCATGGAAAGAATCTTCTTCCTTTCTTTCATGATGTAAATAAAGGAACTCCATGACATGCCCAAGAAGAACCCATCGAATCTCCCTGTTCTTACTGTTACAGAGGAGGTCATTCTGAGTTCTCACTTTCCACTTCCTGTCTGCAGGGACCCTTAAAACAGCCATCCTTTCTAACTATTCAATTTCCACCTGCAGCAAAAATAAATCTGGAGTCCTGAAAAGGGCTGTCTTTTCTCAAAGTTTCATTTCCTTCAAGTGATGGAAATACTGTGGCCCCCAAAAATTGCTATATTCCTGTTCACCTTTCCTACAGGCCTGGACTAGGTTTTATCTCCTCTCTCTCTCCTATGGGTAGATGACCACCTTTGCTGCAACATGTCTTTATACAAGGCTGCATGGTTTCACAAACCAGATGGCTATAATGTGAAATACTATTATGTTCAGCAAATCAAGGATAGGAGGAGTGAATAACATGCATAGAGGGAATGAGAAATGGATGCAAAATTTTAGTTGAAAAATCTGTAGGGAAGACACCTCGGGAGATTTGATCATAGATGGGAGGACAATATTAAAATGGATCATGTTCAATGGTAGGCACTGGTATTTGTGGCATCCCTTAACCAAATTCAATAGGTTACATGTAGGACATAACTCAACCTAAAGTGGTCTTACAGTTGCAGTATATACAAGCATAAAATTAGTGCAGTTTTAAAAAACTAATATTAAAACTCCGTGGCTTTTAGTCTGCAAGCGAACTATACTGATTGAGTGACCGCCATTTGTCGGCAAAGTTAGAGCCAACTTTTTCAGATACAGAGTGTCACATGGTCAATGCAATGAATTCCCTCGGCTTTAATCTCGGTTTACTAGAGTGGAGCTGCTACTTTTCCATTCAAATAACTCCTCAATTATCCTCCCAAGGCTGAGTGGACCCTGTTCCAGACCCACTATTTCTCAGAAAATATGGTAGCGCCAGAAATCGAACCCAGGACCCCTGGATCTGTAGCCAGGAACTTTGACCACTAGACCACAGAGGTGGCTGTTTTATCGTCAGAAAGACCCTTTCTCTGCTCATCCACCCATTCTACAGTACTGTTCTTACAGCTCCTAAATGTCAAGAATGCACCAATCCAAGAGACAAACTGGACCTCTTAAAATACATATGATCTTTAAGTTGTGTGAAATAACAAACACTGCTTAGAGAATCACATCAAACCTCTGTTACAAATTCATTCACTGAAAGAGCTCTACAAAGTGCATATAGCACAAACAGAACAGGTATGAATAAATTAAATATGAGTAACTCAAGTGTATTTATTTATACTAGAGATGGCATGGGAAAAAATGCTACATATTCCGCATGGCAAAATACAATCATATGATATAAATCTTCTTAACTTACCACTGTGACAACTTGATTACAAGCTACAGATGAGGCTTGGGTAATTGTAAGCAGCATCCGAACAGTTGGAAGAAATAAACTCAACTGCACATCTCGCAGTTCCCGACAGGTGACTGTGAAGACAAATGGCATTAATGATTTTGATGAGAAATAACAAATCAAAAGCAACTCCATTCTGCTACCAGCATGTATGAGGTAAAATGTGCAATACAGAAACTCTATTCATTCTAAAAACGACCACACCTTCATGTTGTTCACAAAGATTTCTTAAATGATGCTATGGTGACTGACTCAGGACAGGACAGCCATTACGTCTGGTGTGAAACAAATGCAATGAACAGAGTTCAAGTTAAACTGGTCTATAACATATGTAAATCTAATGTTTCTGATATGTGTTAACAGTAAACATGACAATAATTTTGGACATACCCACTATCTTGAGATTTTCTAAATACAGTGTTCTGGGAACCTGATCTGTTTGTTTTCAGATGTAAGGAAAGAAAGGTTCCTCCTCAGTTAGGACACTAGGAAGAGCTAGTTTCAACCACTGGTCCAGAAATAGTGGCCAATGTATGAGATAACAGCCATATTTAGAGTGTACAGGAAGTTTAAAGTTTTGATTTGATCTGCTTTACATACTGATAATCAGAAACAACCATTGAAATTCTCAGTTAACTTTAATATCATTAACAATCTAATCATTCTGCTATTTAGCTTTGTATGTCACACTTTTTCTTTAGTGGAAAATATTTATTCTAACAAAATACTATGTCAAAATTTTGTCTAAGTTATCTTAAATATTAATGTTCTGTATCATTATGAGACTGAATATTTTGGACAGTGCTACCATGATTCATAAACTTTCTCCACTGTAGTTTTAATGTTTCCATCATCTTTAGAATGGGGTATAATTTTTGTTTACATCAATACTGTTGCAATCATCTTTTATGTATATTTTTTTAAATTCAGTTTACAATAATTAAAAAACCTGACATATTTCTGTACATAAACTGGTAAGTTGGTGTTTGTTGGACACATGACTACATAGTTCAGCAGTTCTGTGTCAGTCACTGGGGCACCGTTAAATATTATTTGATTTCAGTAAATGTTTTATTGGCAAAATGGTTTATTTCTTTGTGTAAAAATGGGTGGGGGGAAACAGATCTGATGATGAGACCTTTCACCAGGAGTGTAGGAAGATGTCAACCATTTGCAAAAACACTGACATGATGAGACTGGAATTCTAAAATCAAATTGACGAGCGTATGTTGGTGATATTTTAAACAAAACTGACAGGCATAAAAATGCCCAGTTATCCAGTGTAAAGTGCAGAATCTCTGACACCAAAAACAAGTTAGGCAACGAACGACTAGTACGGTAATTCTGGTCTGTTTGCCTTGTTATTGACACTAGAAACTCAATTCATAAATCCCAATATTTGATGATTTTTTTCTAAATAGCATAAAATGGTGGTATGAACAAGCAGAAGCTAGATGAAACCAGACATATTGGTCAGAAGCTGTATGCCCTAAAAACCCACATTAAGGCTCTCGATAAAGTACCACTTCTACACTGCCACCTCTATGAAATACAACATGGTTCAACAAAAATGTGTAAAAATCTCAAACACAAAATCTGATCAAAATCAGCCCCCTGGTTCTAAGGCTATCAGATGACACAGAAGAAAAAGTCACTGTTCAATTACGAGGGTTGGAACTTTAATAGTGGCAGCTATTTATTTACAACTGATACAAAATAGATGCAAGTTTTGAAGTTTTACTGTATTTCAGTGTAGTCACCAGCATTGTGTACAACCCGTTGCAGAGATGTGGAAGTCATAGGATACCTTTAGCAGTGCCTGTTGTGTTGATAGTTCGAATGGAACGGTCTACTGCCTGAAGAATCTCTGGAACAGTTCTGAAGTGAATGCCACTAAGTGGTTCCTTCATCTTAGGAATCAAGTTGAAGTCACAAGGGCTTAAGTCCGGGGAGTATGGTGGATGGTACAGCACTTCCCAGCCTCATCGATCAAACATCAGCCACAGGTGGCGCTGCATGCGGCCAAGCATTGTCCTGCAAAATGATGGGTGGGTTCTGCAGAAAATGTCGCTGCTGCTTTCTCAAAGCAGATCGCAGGTTGTGTTCCAAAAATGAACAGTAATACTGCGCACTGACAACCTGCTGTCAGAAAATGGTATGCATTAGGATAACACCATCACAGTCATACACGAGAATCACCATAAATTTCACATTGCTGGGGTTCTGACGAACTTTTGATTTTTGTGGTGATCTGTAATGACGCCATTCATTCAATTGGCGTTTCATTCGTGGCTCGTACGATTAGGCCCATGTCTCATCCAGTGTAATGATACGACATAAGAAAACCTCTCCTTCACGCTCATAGCTCTCCAAGTGGTTATGAGCAGCATCATATCGTAGCCATTTCTGCATTTCCGTCAAATCATGAGGAACCCATCGTGATGTAGTTTTTCTCATGCCCAGGCATTCCTTCAGAATGTGAAGCAGTTTTTGATTTTTGTGGTGATCTGTAATGACGCCATTCATTCAATTGGCGTTTCATTCGTGGCTCGTACGATTAGGCCCATGTCTCATCCAGTGTAATGATACGACATAAGAAAACCTCTCCTTCACGCTCATAGCTCTCCAAGTGGTTATGAGCAGCATCATATCGTAGCCATTTCTGCATTTCCGTCAAATCATGAGGAACCCATCGTGATGTAGTTTTTCTCATGCCCAGGCATTCCTTCAGAATGTGAAGCAGTTTTTGATTTTTGTGGTGATCTGTAATGACGCCATTCATTCAATTGGCGTTTCATTCGTGGCTCGTACGATTAGGCCCATGTCTCATCCAGTGTAATGATACGACATAAGAAAACCTCTCCTTCACGCTCATAGCTCTCCAAGTGGTTATGAGCAGCATCATATCGTAGCCATTTCTGCATTTCCGTCAAATCATGAGGAACCCATCGTGATGTAGTTTTTCTCATGCCCAGGCATTCCTTCAGAATGTGAAGCAGTTGTATGTGCTAATCCTGTCTCTCGGGCCAGCTCATGAATCGTATGGCGTCAATCACTCTCCAGTAACGCAGAAAGACCATACACTTCTTCTTCACTGACACTAGGATGACCTGGCCGACGCATGTCTGCCACATTTTGGCATCCCTCTTTGAAGGCTTTTACCCCCTTGCCACTGTTCTGTAAGGCAATGCAGATTCACAACAAGCCTCTTGAAGACCTTGATGACACTGTCATGCTGTATGGCCTCTGGCATATTCAATCTTTATCCAACTCTGTTGTTTCTGTTCATGACAACACTATATTAGACTGTCAGCTAACATGAGGCTCTGTTCTTCTTGTCACTGCGCATGCGCGTAATGTGGGAAGGGAGAGTCCATTTGTTCTGAGGTAAGGTAGGTATGTAACTAACGTGTGGTATAAGCGACATTATTTGGTTCTGTTGCATGGCATCTCTACAGCAGTATTGCCACTATTAAAGTTCCAACCCTTGTACCTAGAAAATTATACTGGGCATAATATACATTAATTTTTCCTTACAACTTGTGCCTGTAGTTGCACGTAGAAATACACACGGTCTTCATATAAACTGTCCATTACTGTTGTCCAATATTACCCAAAATTGGAATGGACTCTCATGTATTAATTTCAATGAAAATTAGCTTAGACAGACAGACATGGCAATGATCATAAGCACAATTCTGCATTTTCATTGCAAATGAACAAAAAAAAAAAGACACATCAGAATCACTGACCTGTGTGTCCGTTATAAAAAGTGTTCCTCCAAGACAGTCACTTATACTGCATTCACATTTTGGAATATTTATAGAAATACACTTGCTGAAGAAGACCAAATCTTTGGATGGACAAGTGGATTTTGCATCAAGTCAATGTATTCTACACACCACTTTTTGTAAACCAATTTCTGGCAGAGAAACAAATACCTATGTTGGAACATTCATTGTCCTCATCAGATTTGGCCCATTGGGACTTATACATGAACCTAAAATTCAAACTATCCTTGAAAGGGCCTGGTTTTGAAATACATGAGGACATCTGGAGCAGTGTTACAACCATTCTCAAAAGATGTTCAGAAAATTATTTCCAGCTGTGTTTTCAAACACATAAAACATACTGGATTTTGCATATAAAGTAAAACAAATGACTCAAGTGTACCCCTAAGATTCAACTGGATATATATATTGAGGTGGTTAAATCTTGAAAGTGTGAAGTCAAGGCAATCTCTTTTTCCACAGGATTACACAAAGCAATGAGGATGCATTCTCGACCAACGAGGAATGTATTAACTTTCCACCTGTGCTAAATAATTAAAAGATAACTTTGTAAGAGTGATAATGTATCGTTGTTGAATAATACACTTTAAAAACTTGAGAAAAAATATAGTTCTCATAAACATATAAGTCTTTCTATGTACACAGTAATAGCATCACACTGATGACATATTGTAGAAGTCAAGAATACTATTGCTTTAAACGATTTCTAAAATTCTGTCTTTTTACTTCATGTAAGCTGATATGGTCTGTACAGTCTGGCACAGCTCATTCTGTGTGTGTGTGTTTTCTTCAGTTTTGTCTATATCAGGGGTCTCCAAACTTTTCGAACCATGGGCCACATTAGGTAATTCAGCACTTTCAACGGGCCGGATAAAATGAGAAACTAATAACTCTAGGTATATGAGTTTTATTGAAAGCACAGAATTTCATAAACTAAATATAAACTATGTGAGAATAAATTATTGTTTGTTAATAACAGACAGTAGCAGCAAATGCTCATATTTTCATCACAAATTATATTAAAACAATTAATGTGAATGATGGAACTCTTTTTGCAGTCTTAAAATCTGATTAAATTGAAGTTCAAATTTTGAAACGCTAATCACAAGTAGCGACTTTAAAAGTTCATCGGATAAATTTGCCCTGTATTTCGACTTGATGTACTTCATCTGGGAAAAAAGTTTGTTCACACAGATACGTCGTCCCAAAAATGGAGATAAATTTAGAAGCAAATTTCTTTAAATTTGGAAACTGCTCAGAGTTCAGGAGTTTATAAAAGTCGATCGAATTTCCTTCCTTGTATTTGTCTTTAATATGATAATTTTCCTGAAGTTCAATAATTTCCATTTGAATTTGACATCTGCAGCATCACAGTCAAATGGATTTTGAAACAATCTAATTTCCTGAGCACTGGCATCCAAATCAGCAAATCGCTTCCAAAATTGTTCTTTCAAATCTGAAATGACTAAATTTGCAAACAAGGAAGGAAATTCTGCTTCAACCTTTTTATGCAACTCTGCACAGTATAGCATATGAACAAAGTTACAATTTTTCACTTGCCTTTCCAGAAGTATCAACTTTGCTCTGAATGCCTTGATAAGTGCAAATAAATCACAGACTAAGTTATTTTCACCCTGCAACTTTAAATTCATATGGTTCATATGGTTTACCAGATCAGCAAAACTGCTAATTTCCAAAGCCACTTGGTATCTGATA